ATTGTGAGAACTAAAACAGATGCCATTTCCAATTCAGAACTAAGAAGAAAAATTTGTATTTCAAAGAACAAAAGGCTTTTCTCTTGTAAAATTAGTCTTAGTGGCTAATCTCTTGAAAATTCGTAAATGTACAACTGTGAAATATTTTACTCAATATATTTAACTTGTCTATATACACTTTTTCATGTGAAACACATGACCATAGTTTCTATCAGCAACACTAAAAATCAGATTAGAAAAAAAGAGAAATCAAGTTTTGAAACAGAAGATAGACAGTAAAGAAATGTCATTTTAACCTTGGCACTAAGCTAAAATGCTTCCTTGGCCAACCCTCCTGAGCCATATCTGGCATTCAATTTCCTTTCAATCTTTCATAGAGTTAGACCTTTTACCCACTTGAAGAGTAGAAGTATTTACAATAATGACTGCAGATTATTCCATTCTCATACATTAGTTATTTGCCTTTGTGGATATAAAGTAGCCATTCAGTATTTTATCAAACCACGAGATTGTGAAAATACTGGGAGTATCAGTCTGAAATTTAAAAGATTACATTTTCCAAACTCTGGGAAGTTTTAGTTTAAGTAGGAAACATAATTCCTATAGAACTTCCTTGGAAATGTCACTTTATTTATTTATTTTTTTTTTTAAAGATTTTATTTATTTATTTTTCCCCCCAAAGCCCCAGTAGATAGTTGTGTGTCATAGCTGCACAGCCTTCTAGTTGCTGTATGTGGGACGCGGCCTCAGCATGGCCAGAGAAGCAGTGCGTCGGTGCGAGCCCGGGATCCGAACCCGGGTCGCCAGCAGTGGAGCGCGCTCACTTAACCACCAAGCCACGGGGCCGGCCCCACTTTATTTTTAATAAAAATTATTTCACACATGCAGAAAATACAACACATCATCCTATAATGTTATCTTTACAGCTAAGTCCTAATCTAAAAGGTATTTGAACAACAACAAAAAATCCCCTTGAATAAATTCCAAAATCTTATTTTAACCATTACTGCTCTGCAGCAATAACTCAAATCCCAGCAATAATTCAAATCCCTGAGAACTAAGAATGTGATAATAAATGCCAAGTCTGTATCAGTCTGGAACTGAACACACTTAAGTTTCTCTCCATTAGCATCAGGCAAAGTACGACAGAGAAATTCAAGCAGTCCCACAAAGCACTCTGAAATCAACAGCACGACCTGCCACACCCTGAAACCCTAAGTCTAAAATCTCTGTTCTAATTATTTTATAAATAGCAAAACGTTCCTAATGAAACAGAGAAATTACACCCACGAACATCTGAAGCTGAAGAATAAATGATTTCTTATGGTCACAGCCAATTACTAAGCAAGAGAAAAAGATCACCATTTCAAGGAAAAAAGTCTTGAGCGAGTGTAATTCCTCAGCAATCTACTTCAGGGAGGTGAGCAGGTTTCCTTTCAGTGGAATTTGATGTTTCTGCATACTAAATAATTTTGAAGGGAGAAAAATCAATACAAACCTAAGTCATCAAGTTCAATCTTTTTTTTTTGATGAAGTTGAAACAAACAAGCAAATATAAAGCTTAGTCTCCTCCTTGATATTTCAACATGGTTGTCACTTTGTGCTATTTCACTGCAGAAATTGACAATAAATTCCAAGGGGGAAAATACCAACCAAAGGAGCAAGGATAAGTTTACGCATCTGTCTCTCTCTTCTTTCCATCCGACTCTCTCTTCTTTCCTTCTTCTCCCAAATCACCCTCTTCTGATGGCTCCCCTGAAGGGCAACACAGGGCCCCCCACAACTGGAAGCAACCTTCAACCAACTTTCTTCTTCTAAGTCCTTTCCAATTTGTCTTCCTTTTTGGAGTTCTTTCTGTTGCTTCTCTTTTACGCTATTTCTTTTTGTTTTTCTGATACCCTAGGAGCCAGTAAAGCATCAAAAGCTATCCATTTTGCCAGTCTCAGAACCGCTTTTCACTTTTCCCTCTCTTACATCCCCCTTCATCATCATCTCTTTGTTGAACCGCCGCTCACACTCTCCGTCTCTGTTGCCACCAGCCTCATCACTTTATGCCTCATTCACCGCAAGGACTTTGACATGGCTCGTTCACCTTCATCTTCCCCGTCCTGAGTCCGCCCTGCAGATCACTGGCCGACTTTTGTATCACTTTCTTCTGGCAAAGCACATATGCTCACACCCCATTTCCTACTGCCCCAGATCCAAACGCTTCTGAGTGGCTTTAAGAAAAAAAAAAGACTCTCTTCCTGGGTGAGTCTCCCAGCAAGCAGGAGAGGGCAGAGATCAAGAAGGGATGGTATTTAGGAGACCCGGGTTCTAGTCTTACTGACTACACAGCCTTAGGCAAACTATCTTATGTCTCTAAGCCTCTGTTTCCTCATCTGTAAAATGAAGAGAATAGTAGTAGCCGCCCCGTAGGATTGTTTTAAGGTTTAAATAAAACATTAGCTGTACAGAAATGGTTAGCCCGGCACCTCGCACATGGCGAATCGTCAAGCTTATCCCCACACTGTTCCCTCTCCCTGACAATGTCCGTCTCCCTCTCCAATCCTGACCCCGGTCCAGAAACGCTCCAGCCATGGACGCTCTGGAAAGTCACCTGGAGCCAGCTTGGCCCTCCCTCCTCTGAGCTCACCACTCAGTAGTTATCTAAGAGAAGACTTGCCCTGAAGGCAGAAACCTCAGATGTCTCCTGGAACCTCAACCGGAACCCAATGCCAGCACATTCCACAGGGCTTTTGCACTGACTGCAGCAATCTATAAATTGGTTTTTTTTTTTTTAATTGTCTTCCTAGAGCTTTTCCTTTCTTGATTTTAAAAATCTATTTCCTCCCTCCTGTTCCCACCATGGATTCACTTCATGAGGAATGAGCCTCAAGCCGAGGAAGAAGCAGGCAGAGGAAAATGGTGGAGGTCAAACTCCTTTCCCAGGTCCCAGTTCAGTCATGACTGTCAAATGTTCTCAAGTTTGACCAAGCCTTATCTTTGTTTTGGCCCTCAAATCGGATGGCAGCCCAGAGTGGACACAACTAAAGAGAGAACAGAGGGCTGCTGAGAAAGGAAGCAAAGAGAAAGGAGAGGGGAAAGGATGTGTCGTTATAAATTATTTAGCACTCTCCCCATACGACTTCCTGTGTTAATTCACTCAGAGTAATGCAATTATCATAGGTATGTTGAAAAACATCCTTATTTCAAAATAAGGAAGCTGGGGTTTTAGAAATCACACTTCGTCTGCTTAGAGGGTAACGTTACAATACCCAGTGCACGATGCTCTGCAGGGGGGAGATTTCAACAGGGCTGGCTTCCCGGGACATTGCCTCAGCCCTGCCCTCCTGTTTTGATTTTTAGCTTATAGTTAACTATTAGAAGAAGAAAAAATACTTAAGAATTTAATAGCTTACCTAGCAATGTTTGTCAGTAGACTTCAAATATATATGGTTGATTGAAATGGGGGAAGAAGACCTTAAGACCGTTCTATAGATTATTTGGAATTGTTACCTACTGCCTCAAGAGCCGAGACCTGTCTGAGCACAAGTGTGGCCAGGGAGGGTTAAAAGTAATTCTTGGGGGCCGGCCCTGTGGCTTAGCGGTTGAGTGCTCGCGCTCTTCTGCTGGCGGCCCGGGTTCGGATCCCAGGCGCACACCGACGCACCTCTTCTCTGGCCATGCTGAGGCCACGTCCCACATACAGCAGCTAGAAGGATGTGCAACTATGACGTACCACTATCTACTGGGGCTTTGGGGAAAAAAAAAGGAGGAGGATTGGCAATAGATGTTAGCTCAGAGCCGGTCTTCCTCAGCAAAAAGAGGAGGATTAGCATGGATGTTAGCTCAGGGCTGATCTTCCTCACAAAAAACAAAAAAAAAAAGTAATTCTTGGCCTTGCCTTCTCAAGCTAAGCAAAGCCTGAAGGGCACTGGCTTCAACAAACCAAAGAAACATGAGATGCACAGAGGTAACTGATATAAGTGGGTGTGACTTGGCATGCTGTTATAGAAATGGGAGGTATGCAGTTCACGAGCAAAGAAATCTGGTTGAACAACTTCACCTTTCTTAGCATGAGTGATTGAAATACATCAGGCCTTGCAAAGGGACAGGAAACTTAAGGAGATTAATGTCAGGGTGCGCAATAAACACAATCCTCCTGATCTGAGGGGAGAGAAAACCCAGCTGCCATGGCCACACTGTGTAAGCACCTCTCACAAGCTTTGTCCCCGGGAACTCACACACCTACAGCAATATTTAGAAGTTGTTTTCAAATCTCAAAGTCTCTAATTGCTCTCCTAGCTTCACACCCAACAAACGTTTCTCCCTTCTCGTAAGTTCTGTAAAGTCCTTGTGCTCATTCTCCCCCAACAAACAGAAGCTCTCTCCTTTGTGTTTTCAAGGAATTGATGACCAGCCCATTCTTGCTTTGAAAAGTGGGAGTCCAAGCCAAATGTTCTTTATCATTTTCAAAATGGGTAGTTCAAAAATACCAGTTTCATGTTTAAAATTTTTTTTAAAACCTCACAACACCAAAAGATTAAAATAGATGTAGATTCGGTCTATCACCAATAGAAAGCATAGCCACTCCTTCATTGGAGTACCAACATAGGTCAGCTTGCCTCCTTCAAAAAGGCCTCCTTTAAAACTGCACAGGCTCACTCCATATTCCCTGTGTTACAATCCACTCCACTTTCCCCGAAAGAGATAACTTAAGCTCTAAGAAAACTAAGACACCTAGTTACGAAATCCGAATGAATCTTAACTCCTGGGTTAGCCCATCCCTAGCCATCGCAAACAAACTTTTGTAAATTAAGAAAAAACTGTTTTATATAATAAAATTTATTTTTAAATGACAATAACGTCCAAGTCTAGAAAGGCAGCTCCATGTTCAGCACTCTCTAAACATTTACTGATTGAATTTGAGGAGTGACGGCTCTCTTTATCAAGGGTTTGTCTGGGACCATCTCCGAGGCCTGAGTCCGTGGGAGGGACAGGACTCCTCGGACCCTCACCTGTCCTCGAAGCACACGGTGCACTTCCAGGCCTGGGTCCTCCTCAGGAACACTCGGCACTCAGAGCACACGCGGTGGCTGCAGCCCTGGCACACGGCCCCCCGGTTCAACAGAAGCCCCAGGATGCGCTGGCAGCGGGCACACGACTTCTCTTTGTACTCCTGGCTCACTCTCTTCGCGCCCTTCCAGCGGAGATGCTGCAGGTGTATCTTCAGTTTCCTGTGGCCCAGAGAGTTAAACGATAAGATAAGGCTGAATGGAAGGACAGACACCAGACATATGCCTACACGGCAAGGACCTCAACAGTACCACCCAATAGTGGCGAGAGAGAAGGGGCTTGTCATCCAACCCCCTCGGGTTCCAACACGGCTGTGTGAACCAGGGGTCTCACTCAACCTCTTGGAGCAGAGGTTCAGAGGTTTTCTCAATTGTGAAATGGGAGAAAACCTTACCTCCCAGGGTTGCTGCAAGGATTAAAGGGCAAAGCATAAACATTACACCTGGCACAAAGGCTTTAGCTGCTCATTTTGTTCTAGGTTCATCCCTTTGGGCCCAAAGGGCATTATAATGATAAGCAAGAACAGTGAGAGAAGAGGAAAAACCACAGAAAATGGCATCAATTTTAGTATACAAGGCATGGAAAGATCTACAAACATATAGCATACACGCCTGCTATTGTCATAAGTTTCCCAATAAAACTATTTATCTGGTGCTATGCTTTTGCTATTGTTTTTTACGGGTGGGCCATGCACTTCCTGCCCCTAGTTTCCCCCAGACAACAGCCCTAGTGCAAAGTGACATTACATTGGACCCCAAAAAGATGTTAACCAGAACACTCATTTATGAAATGTCTGTTACCTACTTTTAGAAGAGAGGAGCCACTACCAAGAAACACACTTACATCCAACTTTCTGGATTTGCCCCAGAATCGGTACCCTTTGGAACAAAACTTCCTTCCCACAGTATCCATGTTATTTGTTGATATTTGGAATGATGTTTCTAAATCACCGAAAGATCTTTAATCATCAAAGAAAATTCCATTTTGTTCAGTGAATTATATTTTTTAGTGGAAGAAAGTATAAGTACATTTAGAGAGTTTTGGGATAACAGGAGAGGATAGAAAAAGGAGAGACAACAGGGGAGGATACAATTGTACCTTCCAGTTAACCAGAAAGTTTCTCTCTTTGCTCAAGTATTTGGTTGTCCAAAGTTTTCTTTTATATGTGTATTTTTCCTGGCAGACTCTGAAAGAGTTCTACCATCAAAAACAAAACAAAATCAAAAAGCTGATTCCATTTACTTCTTTTCTAGACCTCACATCCTCCATAAACATTGATAAACAGAGCATCACCATATTTAAAGATGGATCTTGACAGCCAACAACGGACACTGTATTGATAGTCTAGCACTGCTTTATTAAGTGTTAGCTAACGTCAAACAGCCTGTGCAGCTCAGAGACAGACAAGGAAAGAAGCTCCCTGTTGACAAATCAGCCAGGGAACAGGCTGAGCAGGTTCATATTTTATGCTCCTCTTTCCTCAAAGCCAACTAGGAAGCAAAAGCATGCCAAGAAAAAGACAGGAATGGATTCCAGCAGGTTTGCTGTTTCTAGGCTGTTTCTTTGTGCCCTCAGTTACAACCAAAAATAATTTAGGAAAACCCTTAACTGGAGGCCGTTCCCTTGAGAAGTATACCGGCAGCCTGAAAAGCTTCCTTTGAACTATTCCCACAAAGCAGGCAAATGAACACACAGACAGACAGCAAACTTATCACAAAAAGGCATTATTTTAAATGAATAATGAAAGTAGCCTCCCTTTTCCCTTATCATCTTCAAAGCTGAGTTACACAGCAAAGATCATCTCGGGCCCTTCATTTGGACTCTGGTCAGACAAGAGGCTGAGCAGAAAATCAAGCAGCAATAAGTGTAAACAAGCAGCAACGTGCCAAGCAGTGGCAGGCTCCAAGCTGAAAAAGCCAAAAACCCAAAGAATTCCACCCATTCGAATGACAGCATACCGTATCCTTTCCTCCTCGATGTTTCGAACCGTCTGGTCGCGGTACAGGACCTGGAGGATCTCCTCACGTTCTAACTCCTGGAGGGAATGCAGATTGGCTTCTTCGGCCATGTCCTCTGCCTTCTCTGAGACCCAAGCTGAGGGTTCACTCCATGGCCGAGCGCCCCTGTCCTGTGGGTGAGCTCAGAGTCCAGCAGCAGCCCCACGCTCTTGACAGAGTTCCCTCTCCAGTTTCAGCGGCAACTGTCTTGCCTGTGGCTCTTTTTCTCCTTTTTGACTGTGTCACACTCCTGGGGAGAAGAAAGCCCCACGAGGCTGTCCCTCTGTTGGAGTCGTCACTCCCAGAGCCTCACGCCCCCTGGGGAGCCTTTTCACAGGGCCCTGCCACAGCCTCTGACATCTGTCTAAGACAAAAGCGTGCGTATCTTTTTTCTGAGGTTTTGCCAGAGATTGTTATAAACCATGTGTGGCTCCAAGCAGATAATTTCTGCAAAGCAGAAGTAATCCCCAATCTGAGGGAATTTACAAATAGCAATAAAAAGAGTATCAACGACTTCTAGAAGCTAACCTTCCCCTTCAAGTGTTTTCAGGCCAGCAGTAATGACAATTGAAAGCCCCGGCAGTTCAATACCCATAGAAAAGACAATAAAAACGGCCTCATTTTTCCTGGCTTGTGTATCCCTGCAGCATTACTTCAGAAAGAGCAAATGTTCTACACAGACAGAACTTTGCATTTTCTGCCATGGTGATAATGTAATATTTTAAATTTTATTAAATTGGCTTTCTCAGGTTTCTGAAAGCCTCAAACTTCCAAACTTGGATTTTTCTAATATGAATTCTGTATCTCCGGTGATTAGAGTATAAGGGTCTATGTCTAATGTATGTCATCGTAGCTGAAAATACATTAGAAGAACGGTGTTCTTAACTGTTAGCTATTATTTTTACAATGAACTTCAAAACTCAAAAAAATTTTAATCAATTAGGGATGTCTGAAGGGACATCACCACAACCTCAGTCTATCCATTATTTGTGGTTTTTAACGGTTTCTGCTGGCTGCCTTACACATGGTGTCTTGTCTCTGTTTAATGCTCATTGAAGGGTTCTGCATACATTCTCCCTACTTTATTTTTGCATCAGTGATGTTGACACACATCACCTTTAATCTGTTCCTCCCTCCAACTAAGAAAATGGCTGTAAACTGATAAAACACTGGAAAGATGCATATCAATGAAATGCAGAAAACGTAGAAGATGGAATCAACATAATTTCTATACTGCCATTTTGTGATCAAATCTACATGAATCCCTTAGTAATAAGACTTACTTTCAATGCTTTAGAAGCTACATTCCTTTTGTTGGGCTTCAACAGAAATTCACATTATATTAATTTATGATCCATGGCAAATCAGTGAATGAGAGGTTAATAGAGCCCTAAAGGATTATTCTTTAAGCAGAGATTCTTAGCCTTTTTTTCTTAATCTTTAGTAGTCTGGTGAAGCCTCTGTATTTAAATGCATAAAATAAAATACATTGAGTTACAAAGGAAATCGATTATAGTGAGATATTTTTAAATTATAATATAGGAATACATGTGTTCAGTGACACATGAAATAATAAACCTAGCAGTGATACTACCATAATTTCAAAGTAGTGATGATTATAAACAATATTTTGTGATATCTGCAACATACAATGTGGCCTGAAAATATCTGTAATTTCTCTGGGTGACAGTGGCAAGTCCAGCTGGTTCTACTGTGGTTTGATGCCTATATTCATAATTGAAGGAAATGCTAAATTTGAGTTAGAGAGTAAAGAAAAAAAAGAGGTCATTTTTTTTCACATCCCAGTTCATGGACCTACAGGCTAAGAACCCCTGGCATAAGGGATTCTATATTTGTCAGTTTCTCTATTGTAAGATAAAGTTAAAATACACTGCTCACCTAAATTGCAGAGGTTGCATGAGAAGTAGGTAAACGTAGAGCTGAAAGGGGATGGATGCTCTTGGCCTCTAGTCTTCAGAAAAGTGCTCATAAATTCCTGCTCTCAAAAAACTTCCCATGCAGATGGTGGGAAAACAACAACGGACAAGGACTTGGGGCTCTAGCCCAGCCTGGCTGGTAACTCACTGCGCCACCAGGGCCAAAGCCTTGTCCCTCCTCAGTCCCCAGTTTCCGGATGAACAGATGGAACTAGCAGATCTTAGTTCCCCGAGCCTCTGAGTCTCTGGAAAAGAGGAAAGCAATATGAAACAGCGTGTAATCAAAGTGCTAAGTGGTAAGGTGCAAATTGTCCATCATGTCACCAACGTTATGAGCCTATTTCTTCTAAATTTGCCCCCTCTGTTCTTCTTTCTTTCTTCTTCTTTCTAATCTGTTAACTACACTACTGGGCCAAGAACTATCCGTCTGTCTGATTCTCAAGTATTTTAAATGAAGATTTTTGCACTTGGCTCAAAACACACGACCTGTGCACCGAGCATTCTTTTCATGTGGGTTTCCGGCTCGACTCTCTGGCTCTGGTCTTCATCTCCTGGGTTAAGCAGCACCAGAGGGGTCCTGGGCTGGAAATGACACCACCCAGTGGACGCACTGGGGGAATCCCGGAGCCCTCGAATGTTCTCTCTGTCAGGTGGCTAGGTCTTACACGTTTCAGAAATACAGGATTCAATTATCATTTAAAAACACTACTGTACTCTATCAACTCCGTGTCTGCGGGCCCCAGAGTGTCCTTTTCCTGGGTAAGTGGGAGCTCATCCGCCCCCTAGTGGCCATTCACTCCTAGTTACAGAAAAGTGAAATTCAGTTCTTTCTGGATCCATCCATCCATTCATTCAGTAAATAATTTATTGAGCACTTTCCAAGTGCCAGGCACTCTTCAGGTGCTTAGGGGTCGTGACTTAATTGACTGGTAATTTACACCCTATCCTACGTCCAACACGAATATGATGCTGCTTACAACACAAGCACATCGAGGACAAATTAAAATCAGAGAGACATCAGCAGCCAGAGTGAAAAGGGGAGGTCCTTCAACCAGGAACCTGCAGTGCAAGAGTCACTATCCTTGGGCATTAGATGTGTTTCTGACCCTCCTGGTAGCCCAGGCAAAACAAAACAGAACGAAACAAAAGAAGAATTCAAGGTGGTGTATACAGTTCCGATAAACCAAAAGAAAACAAGACGGACATTCTCAAGGTGGAAAGGGCATAGACTGACAAGATGATCAATTATTTGAGCAGTGGTTTGGCAGAAGATGCAAAACTGTGCTTCATGTGCAATTATTATAGTGAACTCAAATTAAAGCTAAGGATATAACACCAAATTATAATTCATTGAAAATCTTTCAAATATAGACCAAAACAAGGTGCCTTCTGGTATTGCACGTTGATCCAGGGATAAAGCTTAGAAAACAAGAGGTATGGGTGTTCAGCATCCATCCCACTGTGTTTTTATTCTTGACTCTCAGAGACTTTGATTCTAGCTTCTATAAACCTTCATTCATTCAAGCACTTGGTTAACATCTCCCGTGAGTAAAACCTTCTATTGTTGGATTGAAATGTACTTTTTTCTTTAACTTGGAGGATCTGTCTCCTGATCTTCTCTAAACAAGGGGTGACTTTTTTGAGATGATGCAATTGGTACTGCACAGAGCATCACCCCGGAATCGTTCGCAACAAGATTGAACAGAAGCCTAGGAAGATGTTTCCTTTGGTTCCAGTGTCCTTAGTGTCCCAACTGGTGTGGTAGTTTGGATACCCCACTTAACACATTTGAGCCGCTGTTGATTCATCTCACTGGGACTCGTTCAGGGTTTTCAATGGGGGCAGCACCACACTTCCATCTTTAGAAATTTGTGGTGTGTTTTTGGTTGTCACAGTGACAATGAATTATCCTGCATTCCCATACAAATGTTGACTATCTTACCAGATAATTAGAAAAAAAATTATAATTATTTGATAACAGAATTTAACTCTTATAAAAACACAAAGTGTTTTTTGCAGGGTTTTTATATAGTCTAAGTTTTTTAGAATGCAACTATTGTGTAAATTGAAGGAAGACTGTATTTTGTTTCATTTAGAACTTTAATAAGAATTGTTTATCATTTCAGAAAGTTGTAGTATTTGAATCACTGATACTATACACGGTAAAAGCCTGGATTTGTAGACATCATATTCAACATGTATACAAACATCTGACGGCCTCCCTGTGTCTTCTAGTGTAGTTTACATAAATGAGTACATATTAGATTATTATAATTTACTGCCGTTTTATTTCTCCTTTTATCACATTGTAGTATTATCATTATCAGTGAAGGTAGGTTATATTGTACATGAATTCTATTTCCAGACAGTAAAAGGTGAACTACAAAATATTTCCCACAAGGAGTGAGCATTAGGGGGCTAGTCCCATGGTGTAGTGATTAAGTTTGGCACGCTCTGCTTTGGCAGCCCAGGTTCACGGCTTTGGATCTCAGGCACGGACCTACACCACTGGTCAGCCATGCTGTGGTGGCGTCCCACATACAAAATAAACGAAGACTGGCACAGATGTTAGCTCAGAGCTAATCTTCCCCAAGCAACAAAAGAGGCAAAAAAAAAAAAAGAGTGAGCATTGGGTCTCATAGGTTTAAGAACCACTGAATTGGAGGATCCAATCATTTCTAAGGTCATTTACAAATTAAATTATATAATGCTCTTGTTCATTTCTCAACATATTATTGGGTTTGTAGGAGAATGGGGGACGGAAATAGAGAATTGGTTGGTGGTGGTTGTTCTAAGTGGTGTGGGTTTGGTTTGGGGGCTTCGGTTTGTGAGTTTGTTTGCTTATGCAATTTCAGGTCTGATTTCCAGGTTATAGTTGAGGGCTCAGAGTACCTCTTTCCATAGAAATTATTTAAATTATTTCAGCTGCATCTTTTCAATCATCTTGAACAGAATCTGGGCTCTTTGTGCACCTTATCCCTGTGAGGCTGGAATCTGAATTCTTACAAGTTGTTATCAACTGTCAGCTTGGAGTTTTCACTCTGTATTCCATCTTCCAAATCACTCAAAACTGATTCACCAAAACTCTTCTTAGCTCATAGGCTATTTATCCAGACAAGGCGCCCCAGACCCATGGCAACAATTTACTTATTTTTAATTTTTTAAAAGTTTTTTTGGGGGAGGAGGGGACTTCCTAGTCAAGAGGTTTCTAAGATGGCAGATGGAGGTAGTAAGTAGCACAGGCCCATGGTAAATATCAAGAAAGTCAGAGATAATTCCATCAATCTCACGGCATTAGCAAGATAAGGTACACTTTTACACATTCCATTTCTGGTCACCTATACTGGCTGGAAATTAGAAACCATGCTGGAATATTTTCATATTCTTCAAAACATGGATAAAACAAATATGTCTTCTCTCTTCGATGCTTCTATTTTTGTGATGTTTTGGAGTAGAAAATGGAGATAATAAAAGAATGATATGAAATCTACTCAAATCAGTTTGCATGTTCCTTTCACTACACTACGTGTTACTGTCTGGGGTGAGAGTAAGGTGAAAGAATGGCATTTGTAACACTCGCAAGGTGGATAACAGGGATAGCTGATGGGATCCAGAGCAGGCTGTACCCATTAGCTTGCATGCAAATGGCTTCAGGCACCAACGGGAGCAGGAGTGACAGTACTGAAAGTACTCAATGGATGGGGAGTAAGAGGAAGACAGGGGACAGGAGAGGAGAGGAAAATCTTCACGGCAAAGGTGACTCCCGCTGAGCCTGGGAGTAAAGGAGTATTGGTCTGAGGAATGGGAAGAAGGTGAAGCTGTCTCTAGGGTGAGGGGCAGTATGTGTAACAATACTGAGGTAAGAATGTGTCATTCTTCCTCAGCAAAGGGGCCCAGGTTCTCCACCACCTATAAACAAATTATAAAGTCATACGAACATGGCACTCCTGACCCTCCCTGTTCCGCTCTCTTCCTACATCTCCATCCTCAATTCCCACGAAACGCTCCGACGGTCCCGTGCTGAACTCATTCGAGACTATTCCCTGAGCACGTCATGCACTTTCCCTTTTCCATGCTCTGCTCCTGCCCTTCCTTTTGCCCACCAACACCTGATGTACTTGGAGGCAGTGGAGGGAACAGTCAGGGGAACACGGTTTGGAGTCTGACTGTCTGGGTGAACAGCTCCACTCTGCCCCTTCCTAACTATTGAGACATGGGACAAGTTACTTAAGCCCTCTGGGACTTAGTTTCTTGTCTATAAAGTGGAGAGAATTACAGCACCTTCCTCATAGAGTTGTTGTGAGGATTAAATGTGTTGATACATAGAATGTACTTAGATCAGAGTGGCGAACATATAATAAGCAATCGACAGATGTTAGCTGTAATTATTTATCATTCTTAGTAGTAATAGATCATCATTATTATTGTTAATCTTTCAAGGTCCAGATTAATTGCTACCTAATTCAGGAACTTTCTCCTTATTTACAATCAAAATTAATTGCTCCTTCATTGATAACCCCTTTCTACTTTGTACATTTCTCTCTTGTGACCCTGACTCCGTTCTATCTTGCATTTGAGTGTCCCTTTGAGTGGTGACATGGGGTTTCAGTGATCCCTCATCACCCAAGGTCCTGATGTTTGGCTTGAGTTGTGAAACCCAGTGAATATTGTGACATGCCAGTTTGCTTGCCAAAGCAGAAAGCATGAATTCAGTAGAGTCGGAAGTAAGGATAGTCAGGGGAGCGAGCACTCACTTAGAGAGCTTCAGTCTTCAGAAATCTGAAAAGCACAGGAAAATCTGAGTCATTTCAGAATTTGAGAAGCATACTAAAAAGTATTTTCTTTTAATGATCTCACACAAAAATTCACCTCAGAGCTTGAATAATGAAATCTCCCAGATCCATTTTTCCTGATGATATTGAGTCACTCTCTCACTCAGCAAATTCTCACATTGTGTTCATTTTGTCCCAAACACTGGAGTCAAGCTCTGTCCTCGCCCACATGGAGCTGAGTCCCGCCCTTACCTCCTTTTTCTACTGCATTTTTGTAATTTTGTAATAGTAACTGCTTTTGTTTGACAATGCTCCACTCCCAGCCCATTTTATGTAACAGTTAAAAGATAAATAAAACCTACACCACAGCACCACTCTGAAGGAAAAAATCTCCCACTGCCACTGAGAGAAGCACTCCACACCAAACCAGGCCATCTTAGCATCAGTCTGTGAGTCAGACAATCTGGGATCAAACCCAGATTCTAGAATCATCTGGATATAGCCCTACATCAACAGCTGGAACAAAACAAGCAGGACTCAGAAGTATTCCTCTCCGCTCTCCATCTTCCCCTTCAGGAACACCCTAAAGCAGGAAACCAAGCCATTTCTCTGGGATTGTTAGGGACGCAGGCAGCAGGGGCAGGGGTGGGTGGGTCCCCTCCTAAACCCAGCACAGTACTTCAATCCATGTATTTCCACTTTGTCTGTACCCAGTTATGCTGTATCCCAGTGGAAATTTGGCATCCAGACAAACACAACTAGATTATGGTATTTGGTGCATTGATTCAAAAAACCAATTTTATTGGCCTTCTGTGTGCCACATACCTGCCAGGTATTGAGGATCTAAAATAAGTAAGACCCAGTCTCTGCATTCAAGCAGTTCACATTCTAGCCAGAAAATGGACATGCGAACAGATAAGTGATAACATGGTAGGATGAGTATAAAAACCAAGGATCTACAGAGAAGGGGGATGCTCAGAGAAAGTCACCCTGTATGGGAAGAGCAGAAATGGTTGGGGCATCAGGTAACGTTTTCCAGGGGGGAAACGTGCGGGACCACTTTGCAGGGGAATGAAATATCCGACCATATGCTGGAACTTTGAAACAATGCTTGCTTGCTTTCCTCAGCCTAACAGCAAAGCTTGACTTCGGCTTTTCGAAATGACAAGTGGGAAAAGTACAAGAAACGTGAGATTGAGAGTGAGAAGATAAAAGGAGGCCAGGTAAGGGAACGTTCTTTACCTGCAGGCAGCGGCCCCCTGTTCCTTTCACCCAATTATCCATCCTCTCTGAGCGGGTCATCAGATCAAAGGAAATGAAGCTTCATCACCTCACTGTGATGGAGGGGAAATGACACCAGAGTGGAAATGTGGCAAATTGCAGGGGCGTGCATGCGTGTGAACGTGACTTCATTGCTACCCTAACTTTCAAGGGAAACTAGAGAACATTCTGAAAGCCTGAAAGCCACAGCCTTGCCACGGCGCACAGCACAGTCACTTCAGGGCCCAGCAGCCTCGCTGCTGTACTGTTTTACCACAACCGTTTCCTTGAGAGGCCGCACCGTTTTAGAATGCAGCCACAATCCTTTCTGCCTAGTACGCAGGGGAAAAGTTGAGTGGCTCGACTGACCTTGAAGTGTTATCTGAAAATGTCATCCCTCTTTTGCTGTGTGTATTCTTTATGGAAGCCTGTAACAGCCACAAAGAACACTAGTCCACCCAAGGAAGGAGATGGATACAGAACAGCTCCTGTCTCTAGTTCCAACCCACTCTGGGCTCAGACTCGCAGGCTTGACAGGTTTATTTTTGCAAACGTGAGACGACATGCATGTGTGTTTGTCACAAAGTATGACATCAAAATGGAGATGTGCTTTTATAAATTGCTTTTTTCTCGTTACTTAATTAGAGGTGGATTTTTCAGGAAGCCAGTGAAGCTTAAAGCTTTGCATCCCTCACCTGCATGGCCCCATCCAAAGCCCTGTATCTAGTGTTGTATTCTTTTTTTTAAAGAAGTCTCCACAAATTATATAAGCTTCGGGTCCCTCAAAACTCTGTCCTTTATATATGAAGTTGCATGTATGTGGCTTAAATCTAGAAAACTGGAAGCCCACATGAGACAGGAGAAAAGTGGGACGAGCATTTCATCCCGAAAGGTCACTGTGACTCACTGTTGATTCTATTTATTCTTTCTCGTTCAGGTAGATATCTGGCCACCAAAAACCCAAAAAATGCTATTTGAGAATCAGAGTAAAACACTGAACTAGAAATCCATGATTTTCATGGCTTAAACTTGACCTCTTCTTATAGAAGGGTAAAGAAATGAGAATTCATATTACTATATTATTATAGGTACTACTCATAAGTATTGTTATACTGTTTGTTGTACCAACAGCTACTATTTATTTAGCACTCACTCGGGGCCAGTTTCACAAGTACTCTGCATACCGTATCTCAATCCTCTTTACCACGTCCAACACAATGAAGTAAGTACACCCATTCTACAGGTGGAGAGAGCGAGGCTTGATCAATTAAGTAATTTACCTAAAGTCACACTCTAATCTGGGTCTGTTTAATTCCAAAGCCTTTGCTTTGTTTAGGCAGAAAAGTTTAAAAGTTAGACTCTCCCATGTCTTCTTGGCTGAATAATCTTTTTCTACACCAGTTCTAACTTCTTAATAGATCCATAATATCTAAAGTGCATTTTCCTCTCATAGTCTCTCCTCTTGCCAAGAAATTTGTTTGGAGTGAAGGAAGCTTAATTGAAAGAAATTTCAATTAGGCCCTAGCTAACTTAATTTTTTTATTTTAAAATTATGTTTATGTTCCACCTCCAAATTGGAGATTATGGGTAATCAAAACAAGATTCAGAGCAAAACAGTAATAAACTGTATGTATAAGAATTTACAAGCCAAAGAAGAAAGCAAACAACACTCTATGCCACCTTAAAAAAATTCCCGCCTTATGGCTTTTGGAGAGTGTTTTTTGGTTTGGTTCGGTTTTTTAACTACCTCTAAAGTACTTCCTCCATTCCATTTAAATCATTATTACCCTACATTTTAAATGTATGCTACTCAATAAAATTACATGTCATCCTTTATCTGATTTACCATTGTTTTTGTTTCCCACCTTTTCAATGTCATCAGTTTAAGAAAAGTTACAATAACTGTAATCTCTACCCATTCCCCCCCAAAACAAGCTGCCAAAATGGCTAGACTTGAAAGTTCAGCCTACCTTTGCATCAGCTTCAAGAGAAGAGCCCAGGGACTGTTCTAGAGAGAAGGAAGTCAATTTTTCTTCTCATTAGAACAGCTGACGTATTTCTCTTTCCTTCCTGTCAGGCGTTGGGCTAAAGCAGTGCACCCTCGGGGCTGGCCCTGAGTGCCTCTCTGGCTACTCCCACATCACCAAGGACCTCGGGAACAAAGCCACCCCAAAACCACACCCGGGAGCTCTTGTATGCTAACAGTTTACATTTCTAGCTGGAGGAAAGACTAAGCTGATGCTGCTGAAATGTTTCACCCCTAACAAGAAAACCCCCGATAGAGACTAAAGGCTCCAAATAGTCAAATTTTTCTGCACTTGTAAGGGGCTTCACATTAACCTCAAGTGTAATGACTCACCATGTCTCAAAGAGCAGCTGCTACTCAAGGATCAATTTATAACAAGCCTGGCGTGGACTTGCTTTCGGATAAACTTCATTGAAGTGTAGCATACATATGAAATATGATACAATTCTTAAGCACAGCTTGACACATTTTCCCAAAAGTGAACCCACCCCTGTCAAGAAACGGAAATTTAACAGCATCCTGGAAGCCCTTTCGGTTACCCATATGCCCTTCCAGTTACCAACCCTCCCCGCCCCCCACAAAGGTAGTTATTATCCTGACCTCTAACACCATTGATTAGTTTTCCTGGTTTTGCCCTTTATGTGAGTGGAATTATACAATATTAACTCTGACCTCTTTGGTTCAGCATGTTTGTGAGATTCATCCATACTATTGCATGTAGTTATAGTTTCTTCATGCAGGATTATATTTCATTGTATTATATAAAAAATTTATTTATCTATTTTACTATTGATGGGCATTTGTGGTATTTATAATTTTGGCTATTATGCATAGTGTTGCTACAAACATTCTTGTATAGTCTCTTGGGTGAATACTTGTATGTGTTTCTGTTGGTTATGTGCCTAGGAGCAGAATTGCTGCATCGTAGATCAGTGTATGTTCAACGCCAGTAGATGCTGCCAGTTTTCCAAAGTGGTTGTACCAACTTACACTCCCACCAGCAGCAAATTCCAGTTGCTCCACATCCTCACCAACACTTGTTTCTATCTGCCTTTCTTATTTTATCCATTCTGGTGGGTGTGTGGTAGTATCACATTATGGTTTTAATTTTCGCTTCCCTCATGTTTTGTGTAGCTGAGTAATTTGAGCATAATTTGATATGTTTATTGGTCATTTGGATATCTACTTTGATGTAGGGCTCGTTCAAGTTTTTTGCCTGTTTTTCTATTGGGTTTTCTGTCTTTCTGTTATTGATTTGTAGAAATTCTTTATATATTGAGGATATATATGTATATATTTCTTTCTCAGATATTTATATTATAGATATCTTCTCCCACTCTGTGGACTTGTTTTCTCATTCCTTTAATGGGCCCTTTTGAGGGTCTCGGACTCACTCTTGTGGGTGAACTAGTGTGAACTGTAATTGACAGACTATGATTCAGGCAAGTCAGCTGATGATCAGGAATAAGGTGTGTTGTGTGGCCATGGGAGTCACTAGATCTTTCTGAACACTTCTGGGCCTTGGTTTCCTCATCTGTAAATGAGGTTTGCTTTGCTCATCCCTTGGGCTCTTCAGTTCTGAAATCTCACTCTTCTGAGGCCTGAGGATGACAACTTGAAATGGTGAATTCCATCAGGTGAGGAGCAGGGGTGGGCAGGAGGTGGTGGTGGGCCGTGAGGGGTTAGAATGACAAGAGGGAAGAGTGAATTAAGAGGACAAGATTTGGGGTGAGACAGATCTGCGTGACCTTGAGCAAACCACTTGGCCTCTCTGAGCCTGTTTCCTGGTGAGGGTCACAAGTCTTCTCTCTTAGTTCACAGTTCATTCAATCCATTTGCAAATATTTATTGTGCATCTACATGTCAGGCACTGCCATAGTGATCATGGTTGAGGACTCTTGGCCTAAGAAGATTTTTAATAAATAGTAACCACTATTTATTTACTAATAGTATTACTATTTTGTAGCATAGGATACTGAGTGAATCCATTTAGGAATGTTTGGAAGAAAATGTTTCAGGAATGAGGGTAACCTGGAATAATTATTTCCAGAGCAGGTATATTACTTTGCTAGGGTGGCTGTAATAAATACCATAGACTGGGAGGCTTAAACAACACAAATTTATTTTCTCACAGTTCTTAAGTCTAGAAGTTCAAGATCAAGGTGTTGGCAGGGTTGGTTTCTTCTGAAGGCCTCTCTCCTTGGCCTGTGGATGGTCATCTTCTGTGTCTTCACATGGTCTCCCTTCTGTATGCATCTGTGTCCTAATCTCTTTTTCTTATAAGGACCCCAGTCATATTGGATTAGGACCCATTCTAATGACCTCATTTTAATTACCTCAATTTAACTACCTCTTTAAAGACCCCATCTCTAAATACAGAATGTCACTTTCTGAGGTACTGGTGGTTAGGACTTCAACATATTAATTTTGGGAGGGACATTATTCAGCCCATACCAGTAGAATATACTAAGAAAATTTACAACTTCTCTATTTATTTTTTAAAAAGCTAAAACCTAAACTTTATTAATGTTCAATAAATGGATTCATAGTTTAATACATCATAGTTGAAATAAACATACCTTAGGGACACATGCTCAAAAATTGTTTCTGCTAGAGGACATAATTAAAGAAGTCTGAAGACCACTGATCTAAGGCCTCAGGCTACAGCGGACAGCAGAGAAGAGCTGGCAAAGATAGAATGTACATAGGGGTTGAAATTGAGCAGGTATAAATTAGATGATATCTGAAACTACAATGAAGTGACACAGGCTGGCCTGGGCATTAGACCAGAGGAGCAGTGGCAGTGCGGGAGCAGCCAAGTGGATAAAAGGGCAGGAGTCAGGCAAAGAGAGCATGAACATGATAAATCACCAAGGGAAAACTTCAGAACGCTGTGTGTGGCAGGTTGTAACTCTTCTCCCATAAGCTTCCCTGCCCTGTACCTCAGGCTGGCCAAGAGACTTGCTGTGGACGACAAAATGTGCACAGAGGTGATGCCTGCCACTTACGAGCAGCATCTTCCTAGCCAACACTCGGACCACGATTCCCTCTCCCTCGATGATTCCAGAGTCAGGCTGCTCCATCAGCCTGGTCCCAGTGTGGAGAAGACACGGGGCAGAGCAGACCCTTAATTGTCATGTAGTGTGAGTGACAAATACGTCTCTATTGTGGTCTACCGCCAAGAGTCTAGGGTCATTGGTTTCTGCAGCTAACCTACCCTACGCTGACTGATGTGGTGTGTGTTTTTTCCTCATATACACAGAACTGATAGACTATTTAATAACCACTATAGCATGAAAATCAACCAGTCAGAAGAAATGCCAGCTGGAGGCCCCTGCTGGGCCACGAGTTACCCTTTAGTTGTTGGATTTGGAGAATGGGGTCCCAGGGAAGAGGCAGGGATGCCAGGATCGGGAGGAAGAGGAACCCAAGGGGCTCAGAGCACCAGCTACTTCTAGATGGTACAAAGGTATTCAGTCCCACCGCGCCCGTGCGTCCCTGCTGACAGGGGATCTAAGTATAGGCGTTTCTTAGCTAATCTCGCTAGCATGTAATTTCTCAACAGAGGACTCTCACTTCAGATACGTGTCAGCCACAAGTTTATTTTCTTTTTCATGGCAACGTTAAATTCCTCAGACTTGAGTGTTATGGCACTGCCATCTTCATCATCATCATATTATTATTAATGACTTAGCATGACTCCGTGGTACATCTCAGTAACACACCCCTAGGCAGGAAAAGGAAGGAAAAATCGAACATCCCAGGATCAGACTGGGATTGTGAAGGGCGACACTGGGAGACCCAACTGTGGCTGCTGCTATTATCTGTTGAGGCGACATCGCTATGATTATTAGGCCCACACTTGCTAAATGAAGGCACTGGTCACATCAATCTCTATTTCTAAAGAGTGTATTTAAGAGACTTGACTAAAAGGAAGAAAGCATGCAACATCTGCCAACATGGCTAACTCCCAAATTGAAAAACAAACCCAAGGGGCTGGCCCCGTGGCTTAGCGGTTAAGTGCGCGCGCTCCGCTACTAGCAGCCCGGGTTCGGATCCCGGGCACACACCGACGCATCGCTTCTCCGGCCATGCTGAGGCCACATCCCACATACAGCAACTAGCAGGATGTGCAACAATAACATACAACTATCTACTGGGGCTTTGAGGGGAAAAAAAAAGGAGGATTGGCAATAGATGTTAGCTCAGAGCCGGTCTTCCTCAGCAAAAAGAGGAGGATTAGCATGGATGTTAGCTCAGGGCTGATCTTCCTCACACACACACACAAAAAAAAACAACAACCCAAGATTCACTCCACTGGCTTACTGCACAGAAAATAAACATTATTCTAAAATATGGCTGAATACCAGAGATTTATGGGCAGCTATGAGTCTGTGTGTTTATACCCCAGTGCTTCTGATGGACATTCATTCTTGGCAGATCGGGGGTGCTGGAAATGGCAGCTAGTGAACTGCCCAATGCCATAGTGATTTTAAGTTCCTTAGCCCTTCAGAGTGTACATCAGTTGGGCAGAATACAATACCACATCACTGTATTTTTCCAAGCACTACGACATCACATGAACCTAGACAATTCAAATCCTCCTATTTACAGAAAATTAGTTTCTAAAAATTTCCATAGAGATCATATCTTAGTCATCTTTGTAGCCTCACCTCCAGCTCAGAAGCTGACACAAAGTGAGAGCTCAAAGTACGCGTGTCAAATAAGTAACCAAATAATTCTGAAAGATAACAGACCAATTTATCCATTTCTGGAACAGACTCAATATGCCATATACCAGCCATATACCATGATCATTTAATGAATGTTCTTTGACAGTTAAAATTGGAGAGTGGAGCCCAATGCATATAAACTAAAGTCATGTAAAATTTTTTAAAATTCACATTTACATGTTTTCTGTTGGGTTATGCACGTGCTGGTGATTTTTAGTTACCAAATAACTTAAGATCTATGCATTACTAAGGCACTATCCCGGCAGCCATTCAGGACACTCATTTGAATTAGGAAGTTCCTAAAAGGCTGGAGCAATTTAAAAAGATGCCCCAGGGGCTGGCCCAGTGGCATAGTGGTTAAGTTCAAGCACTCTGCTTTGCGGCCCAGGGTTCACGGGTTCAGATCCTGGGCGTGGACCTACACACTGCTCATCAAGCCATGCTGTGGTGGCGTCCCACATACAAAGTGGAGGAAGACTGGCACAGATGTTAGTTCAGAGCCAATGTCCCTCACCAAAAAAAAAAAAAGAGAGATCGAGAAGATGTCCCAAACCTTACACTCTTCAATTGCAGATGTTCACTCAGAATCGATTTACTTTTGCTTTGCACATAATTCTAAGACACTTAGCTAGTTGCCCTGCAGGTCAACAGCAGAAGAAAATTAAAAGAGAGTGAAAAAGCCCCTGTTTGGCTCAGGAGTGTGGTGCAGCTAAGGTGTAGCTAAGGGCCTGGAACCAGGCAGGCAGGGTCAAGTGACAGGAGGACACCTAAATGGGATCTTAGGTGAAGATGGTAATGTCAGGAAAACAAAATAAGAAATATCAGAATCAGAATCACAAGTAGACTGAGGCACAAGACTGAAACACCAGAACAGGTGAGTTGAAGCCAGATAAGAGGAATGGTACAAAACTCACAAGGTAAATAAAGTTCAGACTCCAAGGAGCAGAGACCAGGTGTGGGAGAGCAACCAGTCCCCACCCAGCAGGTCTCCTTGCTCATGTCAGGTGCTCAGGGCAGAGCAGTCTTGGGTCTTTCACCACCCTGCCCTCTTGTAGCCAGCCCTGTTTCCCACAAGGAGGCAGGCGACTGCATTTTCCTCCACTCCCTGGTTCTCTGCAGCTGGGTATGAGGCAGAACTTACACCTGTGGGGAAATCATTCATTCATTCACTAAATTTTCATTGTGCACCTGCTCCGTGCAGGGACGATTGAAGGCAGGGGATATATCAGTGAATAAACGGATTCTGCCTGCACGGAGCTTAGATTCTACGGAGTAGAAACAACGAGGGCTGCCGATGGAGTGAATGTGGGCTCTGCAGCTTCAGTCTACCAAGTCCCTGGGGTCCTGTGGTCAGCTCCTCTCAGGGGATGGGAAGTGGGTTTTAGCAATCGGGGTTTGGAGAGGTAAGAAATGACACTCTGACTTCAAGGGTGTGGTAAAACCAGAAAAAGCAGCCCCCGAAGTCAAAGATCTTAGCCTCAGACTACATACAAGCAGGTGCGTAGACCTCAGCCCTTCTTGGAGAGCATGGTCCCAGAGCCCACTGCAATTACTTATTTCCATAAAGACTCTTGTATACAAGTCAAGTGTAGGTCATTCTGGTTAAGGCAGCCGGGAAGTGCGCAGCATTTTAGAAAATTTTCCACCCAAAATGGCTTTTTTTTAATGGTGCTAAAGGAAAAATTCTCACTTATATGGAAGATTTACCTCCCCAAAGGAAGGTTTCGTTCAGATAGCTATAGTTTCCTCATCCTAGACCCCCAGGGGGACTGTCACCAGTATCTCAAACTGACCATCACGTTCAGAAATCACTTTACAATTTGTTACCAGGTGTCCGAGCCCGCTCGAACGTTCAAATTAATCCACACAGCCCAAGGTGGAGGGAGGGGCCAGGAGGACACTTCCTCTCCTGGACTGGTTTTTGTACAGTTGTTTCGTTTTAGTTGCGGCGATTCAGTGAGCTACCAGACTACCCAAGCAGCTTCCCAGGGAAACTACCACCTCCAGAAAGACGGGAGGAGGGGCTCATTCCGAGTCCCCGCCGGGCCAGCCGCGGCCACCGGGGCACCAGCGGAAGGGCGGGGCCTACAGTGGGCGGGGCAGATCGGGGGGGCGGGGCGAGCCGAGGGGCGGGGCCTGAGCGCGCCTGCGCAGTGCGCTCTACTCAGGGAGGCGGCGGCGACGCGCAGGAGGAAACATGGAAGACTACCAGGCTGCTGAGGAGGTAACCGCCGGGGCGGCGGCAGGAAGGGTGGAGGCCGGGGGCCCCGGGCGCAGCTGGGCGGCGGCAGCCAAGGGCGTGTGTGAGCGCCCGGGCCGCGTCTGGACGAGGGCGGCGGCCGTCCCCGGCGCAGGCTGACGGCACCGGCGCCCTGCCGAGCGCTTCGCGGTGACCCCGGCCTGCCCCGGCGTCGTCTCCCTGCCCGGGGCGGGGCGCGGGGCGGGGCGTGAACCCCGCCGTTCCTCCGGGAGGGGCTCCGCCGCCCCGGACGTCGTCCTGCGGCCGGGCCGGGAGCACCCCCGGCCCGCCAGGCGCCCGTCCCTTGCCCCCTGCACGCCGGCGGGGGCGCCGGGAGGGACATCACCCGCCCCGTTTCTTCCGTGATGCAGCCCCCACCCCGGAGAAGGTGCTCGGCGTCCGGGGGTGGGGAACCCGAAGGCCGCTTGGGCGTCTGCTGCCTGATATTTTAACGCAGGACCCCGAGCGACATGCACGCGAGACACGCATGTACAGTCACATCTCTCAGGTCCCTTCCTTCCCGGATTTGATGCTCGGGCTGTCTGCAAAATGCAGAAGTGCACACCAGGAGACACCGCCTTTGTCTTCCGTGCCGCACCGTGTTCTCCAGGGCCGATGCACCGTGGCCACCATCACATTTCATTTCAGTTTGAGTTTGAGATGTCAGTAAGACAGCTCCTATTCGTGGGAAAAAATAATCTCTCATTGCTTCAACGAAGAAGCAGGGTAAAGCATACAGCGATTTGCTGAGCAGGAGACATTCATTGTAACGGTGTGCTGTTAAAATGGCTTTCCTTCAAGCTAACAAGCATTCAGGGACTGTAGCTGATGGATGCTGCTACTGTAGAAGAATAGTTGTCCATTTTCTTCTTGCTAAATAATTATTCTTGTTGCAATTCAGATAAACTGAGTCTTGTGTATTCAGCCCGTCAAAAATAAAAACTAGATAAATTTGGTAAGATTTGATATTTTACCATTTTTAAAATTTAGTTTAAGCAGGAATTATTTGAGGGGGGAAAAAATCTAAAGCTTAAGGACTGATTTGAGAGTTTCAGTTTTGATCTAATTTCCTAACCAGCACAAACTTTCTATGGCTATGTCATCAATATTTGAATGCTGGTAGCAACCAAGTGAATAATTATGAAAAGACATGGTTCAGGAGCAGCTACTGTCAACTGTTTTCTTTTTAGCTACTGAAAGTATACAGGGGCTTTTCCCTGTAAACTATTAACTAGTATAATATGGAAAATGGCTTGTATTATAGGAATATTGAGTACAATTTTAAAAAAGGAATTGACAGTGTAAGAGAAAGCCTTAACACTAGCATTCTGATACTCTGCATTCTAATTGTGGCTCTCACCAATGAGGTGGCTAAGTGACTTCATTACTCCAGATCTCCGTTGCATATCTGTAAGGGAAGGGGGTGAAGTGACCTGTGTTTTACTTGAGATAAAGCCCTGGGTGGATGAGACCATGACTGTCTTCTTTCTAGTCAGCGTGCCTTAGGTCTCTACTAAATTGTCCCTGCCAGTCCTCCAGCAGCCTCTGAACCAAGCCTTTGCTGCATGTCCTCTAACTTCATGTAGATTTTAACCCCATGGAAAGTTATACAGGCACTTTCCTGTATGGTTTAGGATTACTGGAGTCCCTTGGAAGGATCCTTTGAACTTCCAGAAATGATTTAATCTCTATAAGATACTGCAAACGTTCATGAACAGAGTGAGTTGGCTTTGTCTCCCAAGTATGACTTCTTCTGAGTACAAGTGAGAGGGCTTCAGGCAGTCAGCTCTTGATCCTCCTGGAAAGAAAGGGGCATTGCTAGAACAGGGCCGCAGTAGTCAACAGCCCAGCAGGGCTCTCTGCCTTTATTCTCCCAGGGTGCACACTGACTGAGGGCCTGGGGGTGGTGGTGGGGATGTCCAGAGCTAAGGACTGTTCCCAGGACTCAGACGGAACCTTGTACCCATTCAAATGTATCAGATGTCAAAAGAAAAAAAGAAAAACATTTATAAACTCCTGGCACTAGATTACTGCTAGCAGCCCACCTCCCAGCTCATCCTGACACACTGGTGGTGAACGGCTGTGCTAGCGGCTGGTTGTGTAGTCGTGATGTAGGGTTAAAATATGAATAGAGTGAGGGGCATTTGAATGGACTTTTAGTGGAAAGTAGAGAAGTTGTACAGAATCCAGAGAGCAGTTTCAACTTCTACAGAAAAGATGAACAAGGAGTTGAGAGTTATAAAGGCCCAGGTATCTACATGAAGTTAGGGGACATGCAGAAAACGCTTGGTTCAGAGGCTGTTGGAGGACTGGCAGGGACAATTTAGTAAAGACCTAAGGCAAGCCCTACTAGAAAGAAGAGAGTCATGGTCTCATTGAGAAAGAAAAATAATTATCAGAAAATAGTGTAATCATTGTAAATTTTACCACTAATGGTGGTAAAAAAAACTCCCAAAACATTTTAAGTTTCAGCCTTCCTAATCAGTTTCCATCAGGGAAAGTGTCAGTTAATTTATACAAAAGTCAAGTAACTCATTAAACTTCTACATTTGTTAATAATCCTAGTGGCCAATTGAAAGATTGAATTCTGGTTTAAAGTGAAGTCAGTCTTTTGGATCATGGCATGATTAAAACAACAAAAACACACCAAAAAACCTTTCAAGTATATACAGATATCCGAGTCTCCTGATTGCCACTCACTAGGTCTGTGATCCTCAGAGAACCACTGAATGTTTCTGAGTCTCTCTGTAATGTTTCCTCAGTAAAATGCAGTCTAGTTAGATTATTTCTAAGGTCTTCATTTCTAAATTACGTTCATTACCCAAATTTGCCTTAATCAATGCATGCAGACGGAGCTTTTAAATCCATCAAACTTAACTGATTTTCTTCCTTACAGACTGCTTTTGTTGTTGATGAAGTGAGCAACATTGTAAAAGAGGTAAGAGGAGAAATGCTTACTTTTAAAATGTTTGATTAATGGCTTATATGAGTCAAAATAATGTGTTTTAAATACTGTCTTGGAATTGTTTCAACTGAGCCTGTGTGTTTTGGCATTTCAAATAACAGTTTTTACTTCAATGAATATCTAGATAAGGATTACTCCCATATTATGTAAATTATAGATTTTAAATCAGACAGGAAATTTTATATACCAGCCTTATTATTGAGTGTTACTAACGCTTGATTCTATAACCTTTTAGCATAAAAGACTCATAGTATACAAATAAATATTTCCAGTGTTTAATAAAGAATGAATATAAAAAAATTGAGCAACTTCTAGTTACTCAAGACCTGGTGATCCGGTTGGGGCTTGTTTCTTCATTTTTCTTGCATTCCTAAACTACCCACTTTATCGTTATTGAACATGGTACCTCCCTTAGATGATGAGAATGGGAGACAAAGGATATATGTTCTTCATTCTTTCAGAAAATACACATTGCGGGGGCATGCAGGGAACTGACCCTCAAGGAGTTTACAGTATGGGGGAGGGGCCAGCAGACATTTATCAAATCGTCACCCTGGACAATGTGAACTTGTTCCCTGTGTGGTAACTGCCAGTGTGTGTGCTGTGAGAGATTTGACCCACCTCGTCAGTGAGGACTGTTCAGAGCTGGAATCTGGAGAATGAGTAGGAGTAGGGTTAACTCAGCGAAAAGGGGGGCACATGTTCCAGGCTGTGGACAACGTGTGCAGGCCGTGGTGGGTGTTTGGAGGTGGGTTTGAGGGACTGAAAGGGGGTGGTGTGGCTGGACTAGTGCAGAGAGCTGAGGGAGCCTGGGGCGGGAATGAGGCCAGAAAGGTGTCCTAGTCAGCGTCCCTTCCCACGGAAATTGAGCATGGATAGTGAAGCCACTGGCTAAGAGAAAGTCGTTAGATGATCTAAGTTTATTGGTACCATTTGAGGTTATGTATGTGATTTAGAATTGACTCTAATGCAAAAAGTATTATTTAATGCAAATTATTATTAATGCAAATTATTGACTAATGCCAGAGTGATAAAGAACCACAACCTATTTTTGTGAACATCAAAAAGCATGATGATTTTGTTCTACCATATACATTATTCAGCATCAGGCAGGATCTGTCACAGTTTGCTTTTCACTGTTTTTCTGAATACGGTGTTTCCTGTGGAAGCCAATGGGGAGCGGGAAGGTAGGGAATTACACCAGAACTGGGAGAAGTGGGGTTGTTTGTTAGGAAGTGCCCTTCGGCCTTCCTTGTTCTCTGCGTTGTCTGTGACTGTGTTACCAGGCAGCAAGTACAACTGAATTTCCAGTCCCCGTGGACGCAGGAAGTAGTATCGCAGGTGTTGAGGTGTTCCTTTCACATGTCTCACAGCCTCAACAGCTTTTTTGTCCCTGGCAGTAAGTGAATTCTGTACTGAGCTATTTTAAGTACTGGGTACTGGCAAAGTTAGGCGGGTCCAAAACTGGAGGAGGGTTTTCCTCCCTTCCTGAGAGAGTGAATTTCAGAGTGTGTGCAGAGAGCTGCCAGATAGAGGCTGTCGAGCGGAGCTCCCCCTTCTTTGATGATGCCCAGATCTAGTAATAACCTGGTCCCTTATACCATGAGCTCCTGTGGCCCAGCCCCATTTTATGCTCTGAGCTGGGGAGGGGAGCAGGACATGGCAGAGGATGAGAAGGAGCTGTGATAATGGGGGGGGAGGGGGACACAGGATGCCAAGTGGCACGTGTTTAACGTGACTATTCAGAGTCCTGGGATAAAGAGCAACGTGCGTAGACTTCTGCCTATAACAGGCAGAAGCCTGTTACTCTAGGTAGCTTTTTGTTGCTGAGAGTCAAGGTCACTGGGCTTAAGCCTCAGGCAGTAGACCCCAGTCTACCACCAAGGTGCCCAGCTCAGATCCCAGGACTATTTTTCTCTACATGTCTGAGGACAGGACTTGGCCCTCACTGAATGTTTTTATTTTAGGTCAGAACTGTCATAAAAACTCAGTTTTCTGGTTCCCAGCACAGCCAGTTAGAAAGAGGTAAAGAAGAAAGCTGTTTAGAAGCAGGCACACTGGCATCAGCATAAAACACCCAGAAAACCGTAAAACGGGACTGTCCTAACTATAAACTCGAACAAGAGTAGGGGCAAGGAGCACTGTACTCCTGAATAACACCTGAGGTGTACGGTGGGAGCCCTCCGCAGCATACAGCACAGAAAAAGACGACCAGGAATTTCCTAATAGAGAAGAAAGTCCATCACCAATTTAAATAAGTTTTGGAATACACAGGGTTGTTTACTTATCTGAAAAATGCACTTACGTGGTAACAGTCCCAAGAAATGCTGGATAAAGGGAGTATTTTTGAATACATGATCATTTGCAGTTTTGTACATTGTCAATTGTACAAAACCGATAAAGATTCCTACATCTACTATACTTTTAAGAAAGGAACAGGCCAAGTGAAGTATCTTCTAGTCTCAATAGGAAAAAAATGTGTTGCTTATCTCCAGTACTAATAGCAACAATGGGCATGGAATCCAGTCAAAATGTTTAGGAAATTTGACAGAGCCTATGTAATTATGGATTTTTAAAAACGAGTATAAAACTTACTTGAATGAAATATAACACTGTTAAACAAAAGGTGTATTTGCAGTTGTTGTCCTGGTGACAGAGAAGCTTACGTTTTATGTCAATTACATGTCAGCAGTTGTTGGGTGATGCCCGTCAGTACTGACTGGAAGGTGCTGGGTGTGTTCTGCTAACAGCGACCACTCTGCTCTGCTTCTAGGCCATCGAGAGTGCAATCGGTGGCAACGCCTATCAGCACAGCAAGGTGAACCAGTGGACCACAAACGTGGTCGAACAGACTTTAAGCCAACTCACCAAGCTGGGAAAACCGTTTAAATACATCGGTAATGGATTTTTGTTTCTCGTATATAGTGGTGGTGGTTCTTTAAATACTCATCAGAGACATGTCCAGTGTCAGGAGAGAGCAAGTGTGGCAGTGTGCCTAACCTCAAAGAAAGTTCTGGGGGGGGGGGGGTCACTTGTGTACGTGACCACCCCCCTGGCCTGTTTGGCTGCTGGCACAGCTGCAGGGCATGTCACAGATTTCACAGCCTTTCAGATCAGCTGCTTTCCGAACAAGTGTGTGGTGAAGGGAAGGGAAGTGTGGATTTGTCAGTGTTGGAGGATCAGGCAGTCTACCCGTCATTATCATCATGAACATCAACCACGTGATCTTCATACATATACTACAAGCACGCAAAAAGAAATTTGTGTTGCCAAGATTTCTCTAATAAAAGTTTGTCTTCATTGAAGTGACCTGTGTAATTATGCAGAAGAATGGAGCGGGGTTGCACACAGCAAGTTCTTGCTTCTGGGACAGCTCTACTGACGGTAGGTTTCTGTTTTGTGAAGCCTTGTCATGGGCATTTCCCTGAAGGCCATGCTGAGACCTAGATTATTCAGAGCAGTGTTTATGAACTATGCGCTTGGATGTTGTGTGTCTTTGAATGCATGTTTATTCGAGTCACCTTTTAATACACTTTATAGAAGAGAGACTTCCCAACCTTCTTCATTCGTGTGCCGTAGAGGCAGGTACTTGAGTGTTTTGGCCTTCATATGAAAAACGGGACTCGCAGGTCCCGTTTTCCTGATTTCCAATCCCGTCTGCCCCTCCCACAGGCAGCTGCACCGTGCGATGGGAGAACAAGACCATGTACTGCATCGTCAGCACCTTCGGGCTCTCTATCTGACCACCGCATCCAGTGTGATCTCACTCCTTTTGTCTCTGCTTCTCTCTTCCATCTTCTGACCACTGGCCATGAATTCAGTGAACACCTTTCTCCTTCTCTTTAAGTGTGTTTCTTGTGGCATCTCAAAATGTAGAGAAAAACCCAGTGACTGCACTGTTCTGTGAACTGCACACCCTGACTCAGAGGACTCGTCACCACAGGCAGGCAGAGCCTGCACGCCGCTTGTCTTAACTCTGAATCTTTCTTTCCAAAGGTGCTCCACACTGAAATCTGTTGGTGTGAAACTTTCTCTACTCTCTGAAATGATTCAAATACACTAATTTTCCATACTTTGTACTTTTGTTAGAATAATAAATTATTCCAATTTAAAGTTTGTGTTTTTCTTCATAGTCTAAATAGTATCACAAATGAATTCTTCATATTTAGTTAGTGGCTTTGGAATCTATAAAACAACTGTAAAAAAGAAAAGGTTTTGGTCCTCTTCAATACAATGATTTGCTAATTTCATTCATGGGCCCAGGATCCTGACAGCTTTGCTATTTTCTGATTAGATTTATAATCAATCAGAAAGGGCATCCCATCCTTCATTCTTAGGTTCTTCTCTTCTAGAGCTTAGAGGGTGGGACGTGGGCAAGCTGATTTCTATTTCTTTAGCTGGAAAGCTCTGACTCTCACACTTGGCCCAAATCTGCAACACTACAACTACTCCCATGTTCTCTATTTTTCAGGAGCAATCACAAAAAAAATGTTTTAGTACTTTAGGGCTTACAAGATGCTTTCACAGTCATTCATTTTGTGTTCACAATTAGTTATTTATTTATAAATCAGAAAATGTGTTTGGAGCTTGGCTGACTGATTAAAAGTCACATCCAAGATCCACGTAAGTGAGGATGTGGGCCCCAAACCCTGGTGTTGTGACCCCATCTTTGGTGCTCGTCCACAGGGCACGTTAACATCGTGATAAAGAGACACCTGAGGGTCCACTTGCTGGAATGAAAAGAGCTCTGCTCTTGTCCCTAAAGCCCTTTATGAAAGCATTCCTGTCTGAACAGCCAAATTAATTCCATGTGCAGAGAGCAAACAAGTCAGATACATGTATAAGGACTGAATATGAAATATTTATTAACATGTACCAGAAAGGCAGTTTTCGAATGAAGCCATTCCCAAAGTGTAAGTTTGCCGTTAAGTAAACATTTATTCACTTGTGATTGAGTATGACGATCATTCTGTGATCGGCGCTAGTGTGCTCACTGACACGGCTCCAAGATCTAATACATAGCTACAGCTTTCCTTCTGAGCTTAAAGTTTAGAGTTGTTTCATTTTACAAATATTTACAGACGTTTTGTAAAAAGGCAGTTTTCAGTAGCAGAAAATCCTTCTGTTTCATAATATGGTATTATAGTTACCAGTATATCTAAAACACGTCAAATCAAGATAAACAGGATAACAAGATGTCACAGACTAAAGCCACTTCCCTTTGGCCTGGGGAAAAGACTTACATTTTTTTTTTCAAAAGTCTAACCTCTAAGGCAACTGGTTTCTAAAACCCTCAAAATACATAAATATCCTTTAGTGTTTTAAGTCTAGTAGTCACTAGATGTCCGTTTGAAGCATCCCTTCTCCAAGCTTCTGTGTTTTTCTCTGTGAAAAGCATTCAAGAAATAAGTTACCACATTATGACCTATTTAACATAACTGTACCTTCAGTAAACAGTTCATGAAATACTTGAGGCCAGTGACATTTGTCTTGTAACCTGCCCATTTAGTGGGTTGGGTCTGAATAATATACCTAAGCTTTTATTGCAATCTGTAATTATGTACAGTAATTAAACAACCTTACAAACCTTGAATATAGTTTATATCTCCCCTTCTCCAGCCTGTCAAATGGGGCTGAAGAGAGAAAAAACTACATCACTTCACTGCTGTAATGATTTAATAATAAATCAAGCGGCCCTGTTATCCACATGGATAATGAAGCTCTCCCTAGGGAAACTGTGAAATCCCTATGGTCATCTTCCAGGTTCCCCTAGACTGGACCAGTATAAAAATTATCCCAAGATGATGTTATTCAAGCCATTACCATGGAAGAACTAAAGTCAGCCCTTTGAGTTTATAATTTGTTTGCAAAACTTTAATACCCTCAAAGAAAAAAAAACAATTTTCCTGCTACTGTCTAAAGTTTCCGGCAGACTTTAGTGTCTTAACTAATACCTATGGCACGTATAATACAGGCTAAATGCTATATACTTTAAGCAAAATTTTACATTGAGTATGTAATAAGTTGATATACCAGAGAAGAAAAACTGAAAATGCATGATTTAATAAAAAACCGTTTTCCCATAAAGTGTGTACTTTTGTAATTTTTTTCTAATCTCCAACTTAGTCACAAGAAGCAAATAAATACTCCCATATTTTTCATTTCATTGACTTGATGCCATGAAGAATCAATGTATGAAGATATCAGTCATCAGTTTATAATTACATTATAGGACAAAGACAAGTATTAAAAAGTTCTAATGTGTACAGCTAAATGCTTCAAATATTTTACATTTACTGATAAATAATAGCATTCCAAATCATGGAAATTATAATGATTAAAACTTGTAAACTATATCACATACTAGAGTACATTAATCAACACAAGTACGTTTTCATCAGTTTACATAAAATTATTTATAGTTAGTCTTAATAGAAGTTGAAAATTCGGTAAGAAAATTTTTTTCAATACCTCTGAGTACACAGAATCAAAAAAAGTAATCACACCATTGCAAATGTAAAAACCATGTAAACTTGAATTACCCTTACAACAATACAGTTTTAATTCAAACATTCATATTTACAAGGTTTTAAAAACAAATATAAATGGAATTCATATTAAAGGTACGTTATCATTAAAGTTTAAATCAAAAAGAGATACGAAGTCATAATGAATAGTGTCTCATGAACCTCTAGAAGGTCCCAGCACTACCCAAAGTGGAATATAATTTTTAGCCATGAATGGTAATTTGAGAGTTAATGCATAGATGAAGAAAATGTAGGTACAATTTGCAGAGTGGAACAATCATGTCCTATACCTCTGCATTTGCCAAGATGGCATCAATCAGAACAGAAATGTCAACCATACAGTGCCAGTTCAACAAAGATATTATTGTGCATGTCAAAGGAAAAGCAAAGGAACTATCTCTACCAGACTTCTATACTTTGTCTTCGACAAAATGGAACCGGAAACTCTCCAGGGCCTTCCAGGATGCCACAGATTCAGCAGCTCCAGACAACTTTCCTTTTCCACAGAGCAATTCGTCTGCTTACCTGACCACTGTGTGCGACACGGAGGGCAGGGATGATTCCTAACACGTTACCTTCTACCCAAAGAGGTTCTCCCCTAGGCCATCTAAAATGTTTTACTTTCTCTTCATCTAGTTTCCAAATGTGAAACTGAAAAACTTTTTGGCAATAAAGAATCTATAATGTTATATCAATCATTTGTGTAGCTTTTATTTAAAAAAATAATAAAGGTCTACAGGGTGTCATCTTTAACAGAGTCGCAGAAACTACTATTTATTGGAATTGTAATGGATACCGTCTTCCCCACCCCAACCACAGGGACATCCAATCATATTCGTGGATGTACACACGCATGCACACAGGCCCTTGGAAAACTGTATGGCAGCAAGGCCTTCCCACTGGAGCAGGCAACTTGTCGATTACCTTACCCTTTCCTTATGAACCTTACCAAACCTCCTCAGGACCCCACAACACTAGTTCTGCTGTGGTGTCAGCGAAGGGCTAGAACCTGCCCACCCACCATTTCCCTAGAGCCATCACTTAAGTATTTCACATACAGTCACTTAAGATGCTTGGTTGTCCGGAGCTCGGGCCACTCAATGGGGAAGCACCGCCCTTGTGAGGCAGCCACAGAAATAGGCTTCCCTTTGAGCTTAAAACGTCAAAAAGCGGTCCCATGGAGCAGGGAAGAAAGGAAGAAAGAGGAGGAATACTACCACGCTGCGGGCCCATTCCTAAGGGCTTCCCGTGAACTTGGAATTAGGAAGTGACTTTTCTTCAAACTACCTAATTCTCTTCACTAAAAACAGGAATCAATTCCTCCTCACACTGAAAACAAGCTCTCTCTCATCTGAAATCTTTGAAAAAGGATTTGGCCGTGTAAACTTTTTATCAGCGTCTCTTCTCAAATAAATGCAGCCACTCTAACAATAAATTTGGCTCAATGTTTAACTTTGTCCTCACTTTTGGTTTTCCTTTCAAAAATATGTAAACAAATAAGGACCAGGAAATCTCTGCTTATAAGACAAGTCTGATCACAGGCAGGTCGAGGGAAGGCCAGGGAGTGGCCGCTGCAGGGGAACCTCAGGCTCCCTGACGACATCTCGCCGACCCGCCAGGAGCTCAGTCGCTCTCGGACCCCTCCTTGTACTGGGCCCGAATGGCCTGGCCGTTCTGCAGGGGCATTTCTTCATAGTCACTCCTGTTATAAAAGAGACCTTTGATACCATTCGGCTTTTGACGGCTCTTTATTTATTCTTCTCTTCCACATGCCATCCTAACATGAACACATTTCATAGCTTCACTCTCAATTTCTATCACCACTGATACTGCCCACTGCTTCACCCCCCACCAATCAGTAGGGTCCATCATCCCAAAAGAACTGTTCTTCCTGTGGTCACCACTCACTGTAGGTGTTCAGCAAAAAGGAACACCACTCAACTGAGCCTGAATAATGGGAAAACAGAAAACCAGGGAATCATGTGACACTCCCAGGTAAGAGACATATTATAATACCTTGAAAATAATTTTAGAATGACTAACAGCCTGTTCAGTAAACATGCAAAACGAGCCTGAATGCTCAGCATGGGACAGCCTTCAGGAGGGACAGTGACTTACCCATAGATCACGTCATCGTCAGAGTCATTCAGCATGGAGAACGCAGGATTGTCTTTCAGCTGGGACTCTGAAAACCAGCAAAAGCATTTTTTTATGTTATTAGCCTGGGGAGGCAGGATGCTGCCCTAGAGAAAGGACGGGAGTCAGAAAGAGCTGGACTCTAGTCACCACTTCCGTCATTTGTTATCTGTGTGACCTGAACAAGTATTTTGTCTCCTGAGTGTTTTCTCATCTACAAGCTGGGGGCGGCATCTCCACTTGGCAGGCTGCTGTGAAAATGGAGAGGGAGCATGTGGAGGAAAGAGCAGGCGTGGCAGGAGCCCACGCATGGGAGCTGCCTGCCGGGTACTTTCTCCTGAGTCCACACAGGGAGCAGAGACAGAAAACAACCCAGGAGACCTGGATCTGCCTGCCCACCCCCTCCATCCTTGGGCCTGCAGCAAGCCACTTCGTCTCAGTTTCTTCGTAGCTGGGAGTGACTTTATCCTAAAGTTGCTGTGACGCTCAGATGAGACACTGTTCATGAAGGTGCTCGAGAACTCACACGATATAAAAGTCAGGTAGTGGTCCTGAAAGGCTACACCCCCTGCCCAGATTCCGGGAGGTCCTCATCCTTTGCATTCTCTGTGCCAAGGGCTGTTTTGTTTTGTTTGGGGGCGGGGGTGGGGCAGGACTGTGCATTTCGGCTTTCTTTTGAGTGGCCGTGGCGCTAGCGCTCAACAGACTTTGTTTCCTGTGGCTGACAGGCAGGATGCTTGCGCTAGGACCACTAACAAAATGAACTGCCATCTTGTGCTGCGACGACACAACACAGGCTGTGTTCTAACTCACACTCCGAGCTCGCCATTTAAACCTACCCCGTCTCTCTGCTAAAGAGACGGCACTGGGAATGATGGCGCCCAGCACCAACGGGAACCCCGGCGGACAGGTCCTGGACTTCTCGTGGAGCTATGTGGCCAGCAACCCAGGCCCCAGGGTGGCTTACCATACAGGGCGTTCTTCGATGGAGAATACACAAAGGCCAGAGTGTAGAGGTAGAAGTTCAACAAGCCATAGAAAGATAAGAATTCAGCTGGTGGTCCTGGTCAAGGGCAATAACCCGTCCCGGACGCTACATATTGGGACTTGTCAGTCAATGTCTTCGCCTCCAGTCTGGCCCCTCCTTCTAACCACCACTAGTTCTTTCTACTGCTCACCACCAACTAGTAGCTCGGGGTTCCCTAACTCAGACGTTAGGAGGCACAGGGCAAGCCCACAGCCGTTCAGGGTCACCTGTGAATATCAGGTGAACTGTGCTCCCTCCTATCCATGGAAACCTGTGGAGGGGGCAGGACCTGATGGGATCAAGTTATATGCAAAGGGCAGGAAGGCCATGCACATACATACAGGAGAATCAAGAATGGAATGAAGGCTTGGAAACAACCTCAAACCAGCTGTTCTTAACTTTTCTCGATTACAGACCCCTTTGAGAATCTGATGAATCTTAATGTGAAATTGAGTCACAAAGATTTGAAAAATCATGCATTAATTCAAAGGATGTAAGGGCACCCAGGAAAGAGGCGAAGATGTAAAGGATTAACCTCAAAGTGTCCCCTGATGGATGCCATCGCCGAGAGGGGCGGTGGGAAGCACACCCCTATCCTGTCACGCATCTGAAAGAGAAGCCGGCCGTGTCCAGCCTGCCCCACCGCCTCAGGCACACGCAGGAATGGAAGGAGGTGCTGCTGCTTTACGAGCCCTTCCGCAGACACAGGCTTCAACCGCCCTCATTACCACAGCCCTGTGGACACTGCAGCTGGATACATCTGGGTGATGGTAAGAGCCGCCAGTGGGGAGAGACGACCCTCAGATCAGGCCTCGGCCTCTCCTCAGTGCTCTGCAGGGGGACACGGCCAACGCCAGACCCACATGAGGTCCAGAAGCGAGACTGGACTCCTTTACAGTCCCCGCTCCCCGGAGAGGAGAATGGGGGGTGGAGAGCGGCTCCCGACGCTGGGGTCCCTGGGCCTGAATCCCCCTGTAACTGACCTCGGGGGACTGCTGCCCCCTGTGATGCTGAGCCACTGCCTACGGAGGAACAATGCTTCCTGGGGCCGCATAGCTCTGTAAACATGCGTGGGGTCCCCCAGGGGCTCCGCAGTACAGGCCATGAGCAGGTGACTGCCTCTTCTTGATGTTCAAGACCTAAAATGCCACCCACTCCATGAAGAGTGCACGCCTGAAGGCCGACACCTTCTGATTAAAAGGATATAATTCTGGTAGTGAGTTGACAGTTCAGCTACAAAATTGTCCTGTAATACTTGTGCTCCGAATCTTAAATAAAGGATGACAATGCTGGAAAAAAAGAGAGGAGAAATATGTAAAAAATATAGGAAGAAATAGCACTAGCTTCATATAACTTGTTATATTCACCCATTAACAGTTACAGTCTATTCACTATTATCTCTGCATGGAAACTTGTACACACACACACACACACACTCACACACGCATGCACACACAACCCCCGCTGCTGGGTTTTTGGTCTCAGATCCAGGAGGACCAGCTGCTGGGGTGGAACCCGCTAACCCTGGCATAGACCATGTCACAGTCTCGACTCGGGGGCTGTGAAGCACCCCCTCCGCACATGCTCCTCCCCCTCTCACTCCCTTCGTTCACGTTTTCAGGAGCATCTCTACAACAGGTTACCAACTCCCCTGAGCAAAGTCTGCTTCTCCTCAATCACATTTCCCCTCCTCGGCACAGCGATTCACACGTGAAGAAGCAACTCCCCCTGTTCAGACACCTGCCTGCTGATACATATGAGAACAGAGGGTTCTGATAACACGGCGCTCCCCTGAACCACCCACAGCCTCCAAACGGCGCCCCAGCTTTCATCTCCCCTCTCTGTGGTCCATTCTCCAGGCGCAGCCCGACTGACTGACTAATAAAATTGTAAATCAGATCCCTTCACCTCTCAGCTCAGACACAGGGTTCCCATCACTGAGAATAAAGCCTGGACTCCTCACGGTGGCCTGAGGGGCCCGACCTGACCTCTCCAGAGGCCGCCCTCCCTCACAGCCTCTCCTCCTGTGATGCCACCGTTCCTCCTACTCGCCAAGCCACCTGCTGTCCCCACGGCCGAGGAGGCCAGCCCCACATATTTTCAGGGCTTCTCCTTCAGGCCCCAGACCAAACGTCACCTCCTCAGAGAGACGTCCCCTACCCACCTCATCTAAAGTGGCCACTTCCCTCCTGCCATTGTCACATCTATTTTATTTTCATTATGGCACTTATGCTATTTATTTGCTTGTCTGTCATCGCCTCCCTCCACTGAAATATAAATGCCAGGATGGCAAGGAACCTGTCTGCCTGCTTACCTATGTAGGCACTCAGTAAACGTCCGTCGGATAAAGAAACGAATCCCCTTGAAACTTATATAAAGAAAGATCACAAAAGCACAACAACTTCTAAGACAGACTATATAGAGGTCACTGCAGGTAGACGGTAGCTCCCAACCTGCGGATTGGGGTAGCGTGAGGATGAGGATTTGTGAGGGGATGTGAGGGGGTATGTGCATGTGTGTGCATGTATGTGAGAGAGAGAGAGGGTGTATGTGTGAGAGGGGGTGAGGGGGTGTGTGTGTGTGAGAGGTAGGGTGTATGGGGGGGACGTGAAGGGGTATATGCGTGTGTGGGTGTGTGTGAAGGTGTGTGGGGGGGGTGTGAGGTATGACAGGGTGTGGGTGTATGTGAGAGAGAGGGTGTGAGAGTGTGTGAGAGGGAGTGTGGGAGAAGTTACAGAGACAACGTGTGTGCCAAGACACACATGCGCTGCTATTTTCAGGTGAATTTAGATGAATAAAACTCAAGCTCATTCCCAGGTCCATGCTGAGTTCACAGACTTTGGTAAGCACTGCACACGACTCCTGGAGGGGTGGGGAATGAGCCAGGACGCTGCCTACAGGAGTCCTCCCACTCGACAAGGCTGCAACCCCAAGCAGACTTGGAAAGCCAGCCTCTGGAGTCCCCGCATGGCTCCCACCAAGGAAAGGGGCTGACAGCCATTTATTTGCCATCCAAACAAGCAAAAAAGAAATGCACATAACTAGGTTTTTTTCCTTCTGGATTTTGATTTTAAGAGAAAGAGACAAACAAACCATACACAATCAATTATCCGGAATTCATTCAAAGAAACAACTTCCTGGGCGTGCTCAGCTCCATCACCAGTCCAGCACACCTCAGCTGTCCTCCAAGTCCGTGGCTGTCGCAGCCCCGGCCCCAGCCTGCACAGGGAGAGGCCTTCAGGCACGGCCTTCCCGGCTGCACAGCATTTCCTGCCCTCTTCGCCTCGTACCTTCCCCATGGGGCCACCAGCATGTGCTGTTCAATGACATCTGCTGTACTGAGTTTAAACAAAAATAACTCCTGCTTAGTCCTGTCCTTGGAGCATCAAAAGGATCCTGGGTGCCCAGGACATGGCACGGTATTCTAATTCTTTGACGTGTCTGACTGTCTGCTACACCCAGGTGGCACGCGGCAGAGTGAGTAGGCAGCTCAACCAGCACCGGGCAAGTGTGCTTTACTCATTCTCCTCATCCCCGGGGCATTTACACAAGATGTGTGCTCTCTCGGCCACGTACACACTTAGTGCCCCACCCTGCGTAAGAGGCCCTCTGACCTCATAACGTATCTGGCTAGAAGGATCCTCAAATTCACTCCATAAAAGGGGAGAAAAGATATTCACGATAGTAAAATAAAAATTCACAGTTTTGTTTCTTTCAAGAAATAAAGTCTTCTTACCTAATGACAAGCACTACAAAAGTCAACGCAGTCAAAAATTTTAACCTGAGATCTGAAAAAGAAATGAATACTCCCATTAAACCACCTTAGAGGTAAATTCCACTCTCATCTCAGAGATCTTAAAAATAAAGACAAAAATAAACCAAAACTCCCTCAACGAAAACCCTCTTCCCTCTGGACTTTAAACCTGTTTCTGCCTGAAGCCCAGGGGAAATGCTGTCCCACCTCCCCAGAGCTCGGGAGGGTCCCCAGCAAGGCCATGGCCATTATTATTTGGTTGTGACAGACTGGGGGAAAGGATCCTACAAGATCGGGTGACTTGCCCTGACTCAAGGACTAGGAAAACCACCCCGGCCGACTCCTCTGCAAGGTGTGATTCTGGAAGGATCCAGACAGCTCCAACAGCCACACTGGCACCCTGGGCTCCTGCTAGCTTCTAGCTCACAGGCCTCCCTCCAGCACTGGCCTGAGGCACTGTCCAAATGGCCCAGAGTTATCCATTCAAACCTGTCGTGGCTCCCTAGGGACCGAAGGCGCTGGTCCCCAGCCTGTGGGAACGGGACAAGTCCCTGCATGTTCCCCGTCCGGGTCAGGCCACTTGCTTGGTGGACTCCAGCCATCCTCCCCCTCGCCCCGTGTGACGTCAACTCCTGACCACCACACACCGGGCGGTCTGTGAAGTGGCGCTTACCTACATAAGGCGTGTGACGTAGCTCAGAGCAGGCCCGCACTATCAGGAACAAAAGGTACAAAATATACACAGCTGCCACCACCATGAAGAAAATCTTCATTCCCTGGAATGAAACACAACAGGCACTGGAATAAGAACCGGCTCTCGGTGCCGCTTCTCCTTCCAACACCACCATCAGCAGGAAAGCCAAACTTTTTTTTTTTTTTGTGAGGAAGATCGGCCCTGAGCTAACATCCGCCAATCCTCCTCTTTTTTTGCTGAGGAAGACTGGCCTTGGGCTAACATCCATGCCCATCTTCCTCCACTTTATGTGAGACACCGCCACAGCATGGCTTGCCAAGCAACGCGTCGGTGCGTGCCCAGGATCTGAACCGGCGAACCCCAGGCCACCGCAGCGGAGCGCGCGCACTTAACCGCTGCGCCACTGGGCCGGCCCTGGAAACCCAAACGTTTTTAAAAGGGACCCAGAGCCCTGAAGGTCACCCCATAAAGCAACAGGAACGTGCTCCACTGCTCCGACTCTCCTCGTCCAGGCTCAGCCGCTCAGCCCGGCTGCGAGCACAGGCGGCTCACCCCAGGGGACGCCCCAGCGCCTGCTCCTCAGGTGAGCGAGGACCGGACCTCCTTCCACGACACACATCAAGCTCCCGGGACAGGGCCGGGACGGCGCAGGTACTCAATAACGGCAGTGGCTCCTGCCTGTCTCTCTCCTGGGGGAGGGCCTGCCTCCCTGCCCTGCCTCAGAAGATGGTGGCACGTGTCAAAGAGAGAACCCAGGACTGGAGCCTGAGCAATCCTTGGGGAGGCTCAACTTTTCTGGATCTTGGTTTCCTTATCTGTGGAATGAGCGGATTGAACCAGGTCATCTAGAAGACATCGGGTCTAAAATGACACGATTCTGTTATTTGTTACAGGAGAAACAAGAACACTTTCTCCTGAGGCTAGAAGCTGTGATGGGGAAGACAGGCTGATGAAAACCAGGCTCCACAGGGTGAATGACATGCCCTCTCTTGCTAGAACCTTCCACTCGAGTTCCAAGCTCCTCTCTGTGGAGTGCCCCTACCCCATTCCATCTTCCCATCCCTGCCCTTTCTTCTCAGAGCCAGAATCCCCCTCCACGGACAAAGGATGGAGTGCTGGACTGCTAGTCAGGAAACCAGGAGTCATAATTTTAGTCTGGGCTTTATTTTCTCTTCTGTAAAATGAAGGGATTTCACTAGATCACTTGTGGGTCTCTTTTAGGTTTTTTCAGCTTCCTAGAAGTCTCTGATTTCCAGTGTCTCCTTTAGTAACAGACATAGGCCACTCTGTCTGTTCTTCCCAGAGAGGTTGCGACCATTCCTGAGCCCCTAGCGGCTGGCTTCCCCGTCGGCCTGACTGAAGGGACAGAGGGGACCATAACCGTGGTGATGGCTGCCTTACCCGAGTCCTTCTCAGTGCTGGCCCTGTGCCGCGTGCTCCACATTCCTTGTCTAACTCAGTCCTCACAGCAACTCTTTAGGGAAGACTCCATGATTACCTCCATTTTACAGATGAAAAAGAGAGGGCTAGGGAGGGAGGAGGCTGCTGCCCAGGACCACTGGTTTCACCCTCGGGCCATCTGGGGAGCCTGGAGCACTAGCCCCCCTGCTGGCCCTGAGGGCCCAGCTCTGCTGCTCCTTGCGCTTGACCCAGGGGCCTTTGCTGCCCCTCAGTTTCCTCAGCTGAACACTGAGGGGACCGTACCAGACAAAAGCTCCAGTAACGGGAGATGAGCACGACTCTATACTATTTTATCTAAACCTGGGTTACCCTCACCCAATAGACTCATATGTGGTCTGTCACCAGGCTCTGCAGAACCTTCCCTGGACGTGTGTCGGACCAGTCCTTCCTCTCTCTTCCCTTACTGTCCCCGCCCCCAAGTAGACAAGTCCCCTCTGAGGCCTGCCCCTCACACAGCGTGGCCTGGGGCCTGCCCAGGGCGTCCAGATTCCCTTCTCGAATGCAGCCCCCGTGGAGTGCCCTCACTCAGTCTCCCTGCTCGGCAGAGGCTTATCGCCCTCCTCCTCACAGCCATCCCCACACAACTCTGGGACAGCGTCTCTCTTCCTGGCCCGGAATGCCTCCCCCTCCTCTCCAGCTCAAGGTGTAGCCCCTCCCCCAAAAACTTATTAAAGCATTATAAGGCTAATAAAAAGACAAAGAAAAATGACAAAATGCAAATAAAGATGCCACCTCCCCAAGTAGCTGGGGCCCGCTGTCCATAAGGACACATCTGGCAGGACACTGCACACTCAGCGATACTGTCTGTATTTTCTAAGCCTCTGCTCCCTCACAAGGTCATACATTCTTAGAGGACAAAGGTAATGGAGTGGAGAGGCCACCGGCACCCCCTGACCAGATTACAGTGAAGAATCAGGCGCTCCCACTGCTTCCTATGACACACACAGTCTCAACACAAGATAAACATCTTTGCAACACGTCATCATTCACTCAACTTCCCTCTTCCTCAGAGGCCATTCCCACAGAGAACCACAGATTTTATTACTTCACAGGAAGCTCTGCAAAAGCCACAGGGAGAAATGCTGCATGTCACCAAGGTCAGGATTCAACTTGGTGCCTCTGAGACTGCCTGGCACTGGGAACCTGACTCCTACACTCCTAGACTCCCAGCAGGGCCCCCTCTGCTCTTGGCACCAAGCATATCCACGCCAGGCCCAGCCGCAAGCTGCACCCAGGAGGCGCTGCCTATGCGGGGCAGGGACATGCCGACCCCATAGAGAGAGCTGAGACAAAGCCACACTCAGGACCGACCATCATTTGTGGGACTCTGTGTAAAATAAAAATGCTGGACCCCTGGGCTGGCCCAGTGGCACAGTGGTTAAGTTTGTGCGCTCCACTTTGGCGGCCCGGGGTTCGCAGGTTCGGATCCCAGGCACGGACCTGTGCACCATTCATCAAGCCATGACGTGGCGGCGTCCCATATATAAAGTAGAGGAAGATGGGCACATGCTCAGGGCTAATCTTCCTCAGCAAAAAGAGGAAGATTAGCAATGGTTGTTAGCTCAGGGCTGATCTTGCTCATAAAAAAAAAAAAAAATGCTAGACCTCTTGTTCAGAAAGTACAAATAACTTGAGGACGGTGACAGCAGAGCATCACCCCAAGCCCCGGGCCCTGTGTCTATGGGCTCGCTGGCCCATGAAGCCAGCCCTGGCCACACCATTCACTCGCTGGAAACCTCCCCACTACTTCAGAGAATAAAAGCAACGAAAATGTTTTCTTAATTGTCCTACAATGTTTCTCAAATGACACACCCTCTGTACCCTTCAACCACAAACCAAGGACTGGGAGCAACAATAGAATTTTTAAAAGTTTATTTTTCATACCACTCAAATACATTTTTCCAAATTTTCTACCCATGAGCTTTCTACAGTCTTCCCAAATAGCCAGTTAGCAAGCTCGTATCAATAGCACAAGTTATAAAATTCAGTAATTTTTTTTAAACAACATAAAAAAAATCCTCTGGCTTCATTAATAATCCTTACCTGAAAATTTCCTGTGTCAACTCGATACTGGTACATTGGGTCATGTAATTCATTAACTCTACAACATGATGTTATAAAAATCAAAGATTAGTAACAAGGTTACTTTTTTTTTATACTTTCTCTCATTTGGCTTTTTAAAAAACTTATTAACATAAACTACTTGCTAACTAACAGTAATGGATTTTTAAAAAGTAATCCTAAATTTATGAGAAATCCTACGTCACAATGAAATGCATACAATGCTACTAACTCAACTGTTTGTAGAGTCATCAGTATTGTGAAGTTGCAGTATTTTTCATTATGAAAATCCCTATACCATTTTACTTGCAATTTTAATAGCTGTTTTCCAGGCACCTTTTCAACGGCATATATGGGCACTAGGAAATACACGAGTACACAAAGAAAGCAATGAAAGTAAATATAAACTTCCATGAAACATTTAAAAATCCAACTGGGTAGGGGAGATGACAGGAAGGCAGGGAGAGGGAAGTGGAGAAGATGTGAGCTACGTCTGATCACTATTGTGCCATGAAATTAGATATGCCAGCTGCCAAAATCATAGCCCTGAAATGGAACTAGTTTCTGCAGAAAATCCTATTCGGGTGAATCAGGCTGTTACTACATCAGGCTTCTGCAATGGTAACATTTTACAGAAGGACAAAAATATGAATACAGATAAACCTTGGGAGCTGGTGTGGGGATGGGAAAGTTTATAGACGTGAGCCAAAGGAGAAAATAAAACATCGGGCGGCAGTGGCGAGCCAGGAGCTGACCCGAGCATCATTTGTACAAATGAAGTCTTTGCCTCTCAGAAGGAGGTATCTAAAACAACGTGGTCTTTTCATTTTCCATTTTAGACTAGAAGAATCAGGCATATCTCTACATGCCACTCAAGCAAACATGAATCCTCAGTTCAGGCCACACTACCGAGTCTTGAAACACTGGATGACAGATTCCCTTCCAGATGAGCTCACAAAATACAGTTAACTCTGGATCTGTCCCCCTTGGTCAAATGCTTTCCATGACCGAAGGCTCACATGTAATAAAATTACTCACGTCTGCCATATTCCTAGTGTAACAGAAGCCAACCACAATAGTCCAACAATGAAGAATTTAGGCAAATAAAAAGTCAAACACTTCCTTTCTCCCTAAAAAGCAAAGAAAAAAAGTTAAGATATACAGAAGTCAGTAATTCTAGCAAACCATTAAGCCCTAATAGACCACACTGGATCACAGATAGTCGAATCATTTCTACATAGCGTGCATTCTTCTTTTGACTCTGAGGCTGAAGACAGGTTCTCAAGGCCAAGTGCATGGTAAGGATCACCACCAGAGTACGGAATGGAAGGACTGAGTCTCTGACTCCCTCCAGCAGTGCCCAGGGCTGACGGCTCACCTGAACCCGTATCCCGTGGTACACACACAGCCAGAAGAGCAGCAGGGCACACAGGAACACCGACTGAAAGAGATCGTCCAGCATCCCTGGGAGCCAGCTGTTCACCAGAAAGGAGAGGGGGAAGAACGGATCTGGAATGCAAAAGGCAGAAAGGCCTGATGAAGGCGGGCTCGCCAGCACCCGGCACAGGGCACCGTCCCCTGTGTGCCGGCAGAGCTCACGATCGCTCTCTCCCCGGCCAGAGCCAAAGGGAAGGTGGTGAACTAAAGGCTGTTTTGTTTTTCAAAAAACCTAAAAGCCAGTGAACAGATTGCTCCAGTGATCATCACAGAGTGCCGTCTGCTCCTGCCATCCGCTTCTCCCCGCAGGCCTGGGGATCCACGCGGCAGCTCTGGAAGCAAACACTCTCTGGAGCAGGAGAGGAACAGACGGCAGTGTTTGCCACCTTCAGCCAAGTTCCAAGCCGGCTGTGTCTGTAGCCCTTCCAGGTTTTAACTACCCAAGCAATCACTTACTTATCGTGAAAGCTGCCAGGCCCCCACTGCATCCTGGTGCAGCATCACTCACGCCGCACGGGGGGCGCCACCACCTGTTCCTTCAGGGGCCCCCAGGCTGCTCTGGAGACTCTGAGGCCAGGCCACCTCTAGGATGCCCTCCAGCTTTAAATTTTAGAGGGGAAAGCTCCAAAATAACAATGGCACCTACCGTTGTAAAGTAGCAGCAGCGGCAAAAGAATGGACATCCACTTCTGCTCGATCCCCCAGTCTCTCATGGAAAACTTCCGGAGGGAGTGTGCAAACAGGCACTGCAACCAGATCAGGCCCCCAGTTACTGGCCTGGCTCACACCTTGCTTAGCATCGTGTTAAGTCTTCCTCCATCGATGGTCTAGGTGCCAGCCAAGACCTGTGAGTTAAGCCTTTGCTGAACTGACTCCTGAGACCATAGTGACAACTGAGGTAAGAGGGTGCACTGCTGCAAAAGAGGCCATGGATAGGGTGGTCACAAGCTGCTCTCACAGGGGCAGGAGGGGACAAGGAACACGACGGCCATAAACCCTCTGCTGAAGGAAAGAGCACCCACCCCTCCCACCTCCTCCTGGGCGGGCTGCTCCTTAGTAAGTTCACTTGGGGAAGCCCTGGGTGTGGCCTGAGACTGCAACCCTGAGCCCCTGTGTACTCTAGTGGCCACGTCCCGCCCTCCACCGCACCAGGTCCGGGTCACCGCCGTCCGGCACCTTCCTCACACGCTCCCATGAGCCTGTGTCCTTCTGCATATGGTTAGTCTGCGAAGCACCAAGTGCTCCCTGGGTGGAAACTGGAGTGGCCACCACTGCAAAGAGCGGACACATCTCCTAAAAGTCACCCGCTCCACATCGGCACGAGGCAAGCCGCTGATGCAGGCAGAATACCACCCTTCAGATGGCGGTAAGTCACTAAGGGGGGGCACACTGCCTCTTCCTCCAATTTATCAATTCCCAGCTTTACTCACGGGGACTCTGTGGGGTCACTTGTGCTCTAAGGGTACCCCAAAGCCACCGTGTACTTGTGGACATGGAACTCGGATCCCAAATGAGCCAGAAGCCTGCACTTCCAAACCTACTTCTCTGTGGCCCTACTCCTGAAAAAGCCCAAAGACTGGAAGGTCTGGCACGTAAAAACCGGAGAATGTGCTCCCTCTGCACTCAAAGAAGGGCATTGCACACAAGCAGAATCCCTTCCACACAGGCTGAATGGCATCTGTCATTGCTCACTGATGAGAATTTACTAAAAAGCCAGTGATTGGTAATTACTATTACACTACGCAGAGGTCCTTACTAAAAGATCCCATACCACTCCTATGCACAGCAGCATCCTAGCAGACACACAGAATATTTAGTCATATCGGGTTGGTCCACTGGAAGGGGCATCTCAGAGTTCTGATAAATCTCCCGTGCAGTCTGCACTTTGATAATCATGATTCATAACATAGCTTCGCTCCTGTCCGTAGCCTGACACAGTCTGTCTGGTGAACGGTACTCACAGTGACAATGAAGGTGAGCACCACAAAGACGAATCGGAACCAAACTTCCAGCTGGGAAAACGCAGGGTTGTAAGTCTTCCACTAAAATGGAAAAGCAGGACAACAATTTGAAAAAAAAATGCATCTAAGAGGAAGTACACCCGATTATTAATAATAGTTACCTCTAGATGTTAGACTACAAGTAATTTAAAATGTTCTTTTTCCTTATATGTTTTACATGTTCTGAAATTTTAACACTTAGTATGTTTTATTTTTAGATTGAAGAACACAGACTTTGGAAATCTTAATTACCAAGAGTTGAAAACAGTTTTAAATAGTGTTACACTAATGATGAATCTGGCATATAAATTATTCTATAATCATAACAAGCACATTTGGCTTTTAAATCTCATATAAAAAATATCAACACTTTATTAGGAAAAGCTATGCTTTCTACTAAAAGACAGGATTTTTAAAAGATGCAAAAATGTGAGTAGGTAGAATGTTCTAAAAAAAGATTAAGTGAGACATATAAATATTAATCTGAAACCAAAAAAGTACAACGGAATTACAGTTGTCAGTTCTCACGCTGACTGAGTAGTTTCACTCACATCAAGTGTACACCTAACAGCCGAGGATGCAGGCACCATGTCCTGACGGAGGCAGAAGGCAGCCCTTCCAACCTCGGTCACAAGCCAGGTTCAATACCAGACCAGAACACTGCACTGCACTGGGCCAGTGAGCCCCATCACTTCAGTGCACTGAATTAAAATCATCTGAGCAACTTAAAAAATGCACTTCAGAACACACAGAGTTACAGACACTGGATTTACCTTACTTGCCAGAAACATTAAAAAAAAATATATACACACACACACACATGCAGTTTAAGATGCTGGACATGAGGCGATGAGAGACAACAATCTCTGGCTGATGGGGAAGAGGGGCACCCTCTGGTTGCCCCACCCTCTAGTAAGCCACGGGAGGAACCCAAGTGGAGCCCGGGGTCTCCCTGAGCCGTGCACTGGGGCCCGGGGTCTCCCTGAGCCATGAACGCACACCTGCGAGTCCAGGGAGACAATTCCCCTGCCACGATTCACAGGACAGAGTGCTGAGAGCAGTACAGAGAGCGCTCCGGACACCTGCCAAGGTCATCTCCTCCCGTCCTCACCCGAACACTGCCCAGCGCGTGCATGTGAGTAAACCACCCAAGGACGGGGAAAGTCCTGAAAGGGATCACTGGCACTCACAGGGGCCAGCTGTAGTGCCTGCTCCCACAAGCAGAGAGAAAAAACGCACAATCAAAGGGGTACTGGGTAGCATACTCCCACCGCTTTTACCTCAGTGGTGGGAGAAAATTAGCCTTTGACTTAATGCTGCTCCTTTGGTCCACCTAGCAAAGTTTAAAAGCAAGGCCTAAGAAGATCAACCCGTTCCCAAGTAACTTTACAACATCCCAGAATAAAGCACAAGGATATTTATAAGAATACAAAATCTAACACTCAATATTGTCTGGCATTGAATCAAAGACATCAGACATGTAAAAAAGCAAGAAAATACGAACCACAATGAGGAAAAAACTAATCAATCGAAACTGACCCAGAAATCACAGATGACAGAATTAGCAGATAAACACATCAAGAAGCTAGAGGAAAGACTGAATATGTGAAGCAGAGACCTAGAAAACGATCAACGGCAGAACAGACATTACAGAGATCAGAGAATGTGAAGACACAGCAATAGAACGACCTAAAATGAAACAGAGAGAAAAAACGAACAGAATCAGTAAGTGGTGACACAACTTCAAGCGGCCTAACAGATGTATATTTTGGAGTCCTTGAATTTCTTTGGGGGGGGAGGGGACAGGAGGATAGAAAAAATATTTGAAGAAATAACGGCCAAAATTTTTCCAAATTTGATGAAAACTATAAATTCACAAATCCCAGAAGCTCAAATGAACCCTAAGCACAAGAAATACAAAGAAAAATACAAGGAAGACCATACCTAAATTGTTTAAATAAGTAAAAGAGAAAAATCTTAAAGGTGAGGATAAGGGGGTTGGAGGGGAGGAGCATTATTACAGAGGACAAAGATAAGGATGATAGCAGATTTCTTGTCAGAAAAATGCCAGCCAGAAGACAACATTTTCAAAGTTTTATAAATTAAAAACATAATGCAAGGGCCAGCCCAGTGGCGCAGCGGTTAAGTTCCTGCCCTCCACTTCAGTGGCCCGGGGTTCACAGGTTTGGATCCCAGGTGTGCACCGATGCACCACTTGTCAAGCCATGCTGTGGCAGGCGTCCCACATACAAAGTAGAGGAAGATGGGCACGGATGTTAGCCCAGGGCCAATATTCCTCAGCAAAAAGAGGAGGATTGGCAACAGATGTTAGCTCAGGGCTAATCTTCCTCACCAAAAAAAAAAAGCAAACCCATAATGCAATACCACTACACCGCTACTAAAATGGCCAAAACTAAAAACACTGACCAACCAAGTGTTGAGAAGGATGTGAAGCAAGTGTAACTCTCAAACACTGCTGATGGGAATGTAAAACAAAATTACCACCTTAGAAAACAGTCTGCCAGTTTCTTGAACAGTTAAACATATCCCTACCACATGACTTCGCCATTCCATTCCTAGGTATTTACTCAGGAGAAACGTAAGCACACGTCCATGCAAAGATGTGTACACAGATGTTCACGGCAGCTTTATTTATAACAGCCCTAAACTGGAAACAATCCAAATGTCCATCAACAGGTGAGTGGATAAACAATTTCTGCTATATCCACACAGTGGCATATTAGCCACAAAAAGGAAAGAACTATCGATACATCCAACATCATCAATCAATCTCAAAATAATTATCCTGAGTGAAAGAATTCAAACATATTGTATGATTCCATTTATATAAAATTCTAAAAATTACAAAGGAATCTGTAATGAAAGCAGATCAGTGGTGGCCCGGGGATGAGAAGGTAACAAGAGAAGAGGCGCAAGGAAACTTTTAGGGGTGATGGGTATGCTTATTATCCTGATTACGGGGAGAGTTTCCCAGGTATACACATGTCAAAATGGATAAAATTTTATATTTTAAATACGTGCACTTCACTATATGTCAATTATACCTTAATAAAACTTTCAAACAAAAACCAACAACTAACAATCGATGCTAATGGGAAAGTAGAGATCATAGTGATTAAGGGTATATGAATTTTGAAGTCAGAGACGGGTTCAAATCCCAGCTCTTCCATTTCCTAGTTGGGCATCTTACTTAATCTCACTAAGCCTCGGATTTCTCCTCCATGAAATGGGGATACTGTTACCTACTTTGTAGAATTACCATGACATTTAACTAAGCTGATGCATATAACACGTTTAGCACAGTGCTGGCAAATAGCAAAAGTTCAGTAAAGAAGAGCTGCTATTATAAATCCAATCCACAATTCAACTATTATGATTATTGCTACAGTGTTTAAATTTCACAACTGCATCATTTACAAAATGATCGTGGCAGTGATCATGAGCACTGATGGGGGAGAGTTGATGTGAACAGAATATTCAAATAGAAAAAAGTATAATACATACCTTAGTTGAAAAAACAGATTCTAAGGCATAATCAAGAAGACAAAAAAGTATTCCCATCAGGAAAAAACTCACAAAATATGCTTAAAGTAACAGTGAAGAAAGCATACATTTTTGATCCTCAAGGGACTGTAACTCCTAAAAAAGAAAAGAACCATGGACTCCCCCGAAGGAAGGCGGATTCTGCCTTAAGATCTGGTCAGAGCTGTACAAAACAAGCAACTCACTCACTTTAAAAATTAGCACTAGAAGACAGCGCTTTATTCATAAATATAACTAAACTTAAAGCAGGCATTTTAGTTCTAAAATATGATTAACAGGAGGGAGATGGAGAAAGATGAGGAGCTGAGACGGAGAAGAGACAACGCTACATGCTGGCTTTCAGGACTGGATCCGAGCACCCGGCTGCCCTCTGACGCGAGGTGGGCACTCCGTGTCGGCACTACACTCTGTCCAGCCTCACTTTCCTCCTGTCACGCCTTTCCCCGTCCTTCCTGATCCGGGGAAACCCTTCCCCATAGGATTCCCCTCTGGGGCTGCCTCTGTTGGCAGCAGCTGAGAAGAATCACCTTTGGGTTCTTCTGCGGCCAGACCAGCCTCACAGCTCCATCTGGCATTCATCTGTGCCAACGGCTTGAAAACTCTCTTTTCCCTTGAGGGAGCCCGAGAAGAATGTACGAAGCTCAGAGAACAGGGCCCTGGCCCCCGCACTGTAGACAGCGGCCTCCAGTCGCCGTGGACCCAGCGACACCAGGGCTAGGAGGAGAAAGGTCACAGGGATTCCATCAAATAGCTGGCCAGTGCCTCTGCCAGTGCCATAATTAGGTAGCAGCCATTGTATGGACCTAATTCTATAGAATTAGGGGTTTTTGTTTTTGCATTATTTTTAAGCAACAAAATGTATATTTGAAATTAAAAAGTAAAAGAAAATTAACAGAGTAAAATCCCAGAAAACCGTCTGGCTCTAGACATTTACTTTGAAATCTTAAGAGCTATCAATCCATCCACTGGCTTCTGTGTCAAGGTCCTTGGGCGCTCACAAAGCCGCCTTTGTCCTTTCCGAGACGGGGCTCACCCTGTCACACCGTGAACTGGCATTTGGAACAAGTGCGCATTTCATACTCTAGATCTTGTCTCCCTAATTAAAATCTACAGGTTTTTGGTCCAGTTCCTCCATTCATCCATTCAACATTTGTTGAGCACCAACTTTGACTATATGCAAGAAAATATGTCAAATCCTGTGCAGATATGCAACAAGTGAACTTAAAGAAAATAAAATCAGTAAAAATGCTCCCAGAAACTGACTAATTTGGCGGCAGAGAACAAATACTTTAGGACATCCTCAGAGAGCGCTCTGAAAAGGAAAGCCACAGGAACACAGAGGGTGGGGGATTTTTCAGGGTGCAGGCTGCTCAGATGGGTGTCACCCCTGGCAACCTGGGCAGCACTAGGCAACCCCCTGGAATCGGGTCCCCACGCTTAGATTCACAGCCTGGGTCTCCAAGACTTGAAAAACATTG